ACTAGTTGACAGTTGGCCTACACATTAGTTAAATGCCTGCATGTTCTGCACATGATCCGAAAATTCACGTTTGGAAAATATCTAATTTTGAAAACAGTTGAGTTTATCGATGGGAGAACGTTTTTTGGAAAAGTACATTTCATTTTCATTTTCATTTTTTTTCTTATAAAATGATAAAACTTTGTTTTTATTAATAGATGAGCAAATTTGTCAAGTGACGATAAAGAAATTGAGTCTTTGCCACAACACACAAACTTTCCAGTCCCTATATCTTTGCAACCTTATGATGTAAACTTTTCATATTTCAAACTTAAATTATTTTATAGAACCGAATGCATAGTTTGAATTATCTAAGGTCTACAGAATTAGGTTGCAAAGATATAGGGATTATAAAATCAGAGTTTGCGGCAAAGACTCAATTCCGTTCGAAAAACTTTAAAATCAAATTCATCAATATATTCCAAAATTTGCCCCTCCATAGTGGGAATTCGGGTCACGTTTGTTTCTAGCGAATTAAAGCATTTAAATAGAAATATGACTGGAATGAATGTTTTGTAAAACTGGGTTCACGTTTGTAGGATTGTTTTATAACAAGGTTTTTAACCGACATTATGCATTCTGCAAAATCTAGCAGAAAACAGGATTTTGCAGTTTCATTCAGTATCAAAATACTAATTTATCAATACCACAATTTGTCAGTAGAGCTCATTTTTTTATCACTAAACGCATTGATAATGATAATTCATATTAATTTTTAATCAAAAATAATATCTTATAGTCATTATATTATCATTATTATTATTATTATTGATTTTCAACCGATTTTCCAAAAACTTGATTTCTTTTCAAATATTGTTTTATAAATGGATTTCTAACTCTTCAATCGTAAAAATGATTTGCTGCCAACATGATTCAATGTGTTTGTTTGCCTCAATATTTCGAAAATTTTTACCAAAAAAAAATTGGTTTATGTTTATCATTAACTGGTTTGATAATGATATTAGAGACACTCTGTATTTGTGTTTAATTTCATCAAAATTATAATGTTCAATTAGTATTATAATTTGTTTGTGTAAGGTCACGTTTATAATTTGTTTACATAATGTGTTTTTATTAAAATTGCGAGTAATTATCTGTAGATTGAATATAAAAGGTTTTTCACAAATTCTTTTTAAAATATTTAGAATAAATGATAGTTTCTTCATTAGTTTTTTTTGCAGAAATTTAGTTTATTTTCTAATTTTAATCTCAATTGTAACATTTCTATCATATACCAGTGATAAGCTTAAACAGAAATAATATTGCTTTACGAATATCATTTTCAATGAATTGTCACTGAAAAAGTTAATGTGGAAAACTATAGAGTTTTTATAAATATTAACTTTAAACTTGATCAAAATGTGTTTATCAAAAACTATATATTTAAAAAGCAAAAAAAAGAATAAGAAATGCCGAGTAACATCGTTGCAAAACATTTTCAAACTTTTCATCTTTTTTTATTTTACAGATTTGAATGTGAAAAATGTCCTCCAACATAGATTTTATATGAATATGCATATGAACATACGTTTTTTATGATATTGGGATTCAGTCATTGCCACAAACTCTGATTTTCAAATCTCTATATCGTTGCAACCCAATGTGGCAGAGCTTTGATATTTCAAACTATGAATCCTGTTAGATAAATCAATCTGAGTTAAAAATATTAATGGTTTATACCACCAGGTTAAGAAAATGTAAGGATTCGAAAATTTAAGTTTTTTGGCAAAGACTAAACTGAAACTGAATACTTGCCCCAACTCATGATCTTTTAATCTTACATCTTTTCAACCTGATATTGTAGAGATTTTTCATATTTAAAACTACAAATTATTCAAAATATGATAAAGTCGATAGTCAAAGTTAGTAATACAGATTTTCACCAATAGGGTGCGAAGATAAAAGGAATAGAAAAATCAGAGTTTGAGACAAGCAATCGGGTTTTTTATTCGTTAGTTTCTTTCTGCAGGCGATAAACAGTTTACCTACAGAAGTAACAAAACATATATTGTGACTGATAAAAGCTGAATTAGTCTAATATTAACTGTCATATTGGTTTCGAATTTATATTTTCTTTTAAAACAATTATACATTGTTAAAGGATGCCATTGTAAACTGTACTGTACTGCACTAACTGCATACTTTGATAATATCGTGTATTCATAAACCATAATTTATATCTTTACTAAGGTCACACCGTCAGTTCGGATTATCATCGAGGGGGAGGGGAAGGCCGCAGGGGGGGAAGGGGGCAGAGGTCGAACTATTTGCTGTTGGTTGGTTGGTGCGCTGAACACTTTCTATACGGTTGTCGGGGCTGTTGTGCCCGGCTGGTGGGATGGTGAAGGATGTTGTGTGGGGGGAGGGGGGGGCGGAGCTTGTGTTGCACGCCTGGTTCCTCAGTCTGACACAAACCCTTCACCCGTGGTTATATTGTGACTAGAGGCTGGTTAAAGCCTCAACAAAACTGCAGTTGTCAAACTGCAAGGTTGAAAGAAAACCTCAAAAAAACTTGGAGGTTTTAGAGACAAGGTTTCCTAGAAACCAGAATGAAGTAAGAAACCTAACCACTTTTTTAAAAAAAAAATTGAGAATTTTAGATCAAGCTTTTTTTTCAAAATATGTGTGGGGCTGTCTGGGAAACAAATTTTTGAAATAAATATAAATTAATGATTTTTAAAAGTTTACGCTGTACACGCATCAAACTGCTCTTATCTTAAAATTTATGAACAATTGAATAAACAATTATCCAACGACTTTAGAAATTGTTTTATGACATGAGATTTAAAAATGTTATTGGATAAATTTAAAATGTTGAAGTCTTACATTTATAGGATTAATCAAGAGCAATATAGATTTTTTTGCCTAACAGACAAAGGAATTGAGTTTTTGCCACAACCTCAAATTTTCTAATTTCTATATCTCTACAACCTGCAGTTGGTATAAACCTTTGATATTTCAAACTTAGATTATTTGATCTAACAGAATTAATAATTTGAAATATCTAAGGTCTACGACATTGGGTTGCCAAGATATAAGGATAAGAATATTGGAGTTTGTGGCAAAAACTCAGTTCCTTTCAAGAGAAATAAAAAAAAATATTTATTTCTCTTGAAATTATCTATCGATTCACTTTGCTTGTCTGTCTGTCTGTTTGTATCCAATAAACGTCAAACGACTGAACTGATCGGGCCCCAGAGAATGTTAATGGAATATTGAATTTTTAAAAATTTGCCTATAACAAAATTCGATTTTGAATATTTTGAAAATTCACAAAATTTTCTTTATAAAATCGGCGAAGTTTTTTTGTTTGTTTTTCATTTACAATGTATGCACAGAGAACATGTTTACAATCGAAATAGAAGATGGGCGCAAAGCGCCCTAAAAGCCTAGTCCATGAATACATTTATGTTGCTGGACTTTTATAAACTATAGGCATAAAGCAATTTTTTAAATATTGTTTTAATCTAGATTTTACTAGTTTTTATTTTGCTTTCAAGGCTTAGATATTGTAAAATGCATTCTCCGTTCAAGACTGAAATGGAAGAATTATGTATTCTCCGTTCAAGACTGAAATGGAATAATTATGTATTCTCCGTTCAAGACTACAGTACTTTTCTTTTCAAGACTGTTATTTTTAAAATGTACTTTTTTCGTTCAATTATACATTTTTTCATATTTGAATGATTCAAAGATTTTAAATGGAAGGAAAAAGATTTTTTTTGTATTTGTCCGAAAGTGCATCTTTGAAAACTTGATCAATATTAGCCTATTTATCAATTGTCTGTCTTAAATAAGCGATAAAAGTAGGAAATTATATTCTTCCCTTGTAAAATTTTAATTAACCTAGTTTAACCTAGAATATCTATTATTTGTAAAATATTATGTAAATTATCCAGGCTTTCTTTTCAAGCCTATAGTTTGCTTATTTTCCTAAATGCAGTTTAAGTAAAGCGTGTCTCTCTGGATAATCTTGACCCATTTCTTAGCTCTGTATTCTGCATAAAGTATATTCTGCATAAAGTGAGTGTGGGGGGGGAAATCCTTGAAAAATGACCTCATTGCTGCTGATGCATATTCAAAATTTTACCGGACCATTTGACGTCCTAGAAAATCCTATTACTATATTAAAAATACTAATAACCGCGACAGTATTTTGAAATAATGGTCATTTTGTTCTAATTTGATAAAAGAATGGTTTTAAGAGCTTTTATTTGATTGTTATTAAAAACTGTCGAGAAAATTGATTTGAATTTTGTGATATGTATATAATTTTCATATTCTATTAAAATCTAGTTTCTATATAATATTTCTAGTTTCACATGATATTTCTTTAACCATTAAGATCAGTCAAATTCAAAGAATCTTAATTTTTTCATTTTTTTTCTTTCGCAAATCCCCTCGATCCCTCCCTTTCTCACTTTGATCTCGTTGTTTGTTCTTTTAGAACTTTCTTCCCGGTCATTTACTCCTTTCCTTTCACAATTTTTCAATACACTGATTTACCGGTTCTTTTTAACCCGCATTTTTGGATTCTAACATTTACCCGATATTTGCTAGCTGTCTTTCTCTTTTCTCTTTTCCTTGTCTATATATAAGGATATTTCCAGAATTCCTGATAATTCTCTTTTTTTACCTTTCTCTAACTTTTTTCATTCAAAGTTTTATTTGTTGTTTTTTCTCTTCATTTTAAATTATTCATTTAGTCATCTTCTCACTTTCTACTTTTAGTTTGTCTTAAATTTTTCAATTTTCAATTTTTCAATTCTAGATAGGTGCTTAAAAATATTGAACCATTTTATTTTATAATATTCTGAACTTTGTTTATTTCTTATTAAATTAAAAATATTATTATCAGTTTTGTATTGTTATCACTGTACAGTGTACAGTATTACGAAATGTTTTCCTGCTAGTATTCTAGATATAGTGCTTAGTCTGGAGTAAGGCTGAACCGGTAGAAATTGCAGAAAACTGTTGCTTGAATTACGTCACGAGCTGGCGCCCGGTATATTACTGTTATATAATAAATTTGGTAGATTTCACCCTTTTTTTGTGATTTTCCAATATTTTTTTTTCTAAATCAGGCTAAAATAAATTGTTTTTTACTTTAACAAATTTCTTGATAAATTTTTTTTTTACCCGAGCTGTTGATACGGTGTTTTGCCTGAGTAACTGTATTTTGCAGTATATACAGCTAGAAACATTAAAGGCAGTCTTTCCCCGCTCTTCGTAGTGAAACCAAGCATAGAGGCATAGGCGTACATACATACAATAATCTTTATTCGCTCTAGGTAATTCATAATTATTCCGTCATTGTTTTAAAGTTTCTTTATAGTTTTAAAAACATGTTTTCAAGAAGAAACACTTGTGAACCTGTAGTAAATTTACTATTTACTGTGTATATAGTGCCTACTCCATAGTGTCTCAAAACATAAAAATAAGATTTTTTTGTTGAAAGAAAAATCCCTCGAAATGGGAATCATGAGAACTGTAATGGAAAATTGGGAAAATTTTTTTTTTCTACTTCATTATAATTTTGTGTATATCTGGAACACCCTGTTGAAAAATACTACAATACGGAGATTATTTAAATACACGAGTAATTAAGAAAAGTAGAGTAGAGCACACCTGTGCGCACACTTTAACGAGAGAAAGCAACAAAAAAAAACAGTTAGTTTTCTCTGTTATGTAAAATACAACAAGCTTTCTATCCGACCTAGTTGTATATACATATACATGTATTTATATTCTAATAATGAAATTTTAGAAACATGTGTTTAACAACGGTTTTATAATTACAAACCTTTAATTAGTTTAAAAACAGAACAAGATCCTCAAATATGTTCGTGAATCATATATCTCCTTGCTTAGTAGTTAGTACGTGTCATTCACCTTTTTTTTGTAAATAAATGCTCCGGGGATAACAAATGTTTTTGTTCCAAACTGCAGAAAAGTGACATTATTAAGATTTATTTGAAATGCATTTCCCATTTAATATGTATAGATTTTCAATTCTTACTTTTTTAAAAGCTTTCTTTCTTTCTTCTCTTTTTTACATATCTGCATCTAAACATATTTATAATCTTATCTGTTTGATTTTTTTTATTACAATTTATAATCCCAAACCTCCCTTATCTGTTGAACCAACCCTAGGTTTTATTGTAGTTTCTCTAGTTGTTGCCCTATAACGGTGTTGTATGGTAGATGTTAGGAAGAAAGATATTAGCCTGGGAAATTATATTGCAGCATATGTTGGTTTGTAGTATTTGGAGTAAAAAAGATTAAATTATACAACACTCCGCCTGGCTGCATATGCAGGCATCTACACACTTTGCTTTAATTCTTGTGTTTATATTTCAAATTTTTTTATTTGTTTATACTTTACTTATGTAATTTTGTGTTTGTAAGTTTTGAGAAGCTTAAATTTTTCCAAATTGAATTTTCGAGTTTTTGCATAAAGGAACGAACTTTGAAAGTTGTGTAAGCTTTTTTAAGGCTGTTATAAAACCTTGCAAAACTACAGACAGAAAAATAAGGAAATAAAACGCATTAAACAGCCTTATATATTATCTCATTAACAATCTTAAACATTATTTTAATTCTATGTTACTTTTATTTTAGGGGTGCATCAAACGATTTACAATTTTAATCTTGGCAAAAAATTCTATTTAAATTTTTTATGTCCGAATAATGTCAATCTTTTATAGTAAAAAACTCATGGATAACTGAGCAAAGGTGCGAAATTAAATAGCCAAATTTTTCTTGTATGTCAAATTATATGGGTGAATTTTTTTATTAAAATTTACTTAAAAATTCTTTGACAATCCCTTGAAAATAAAATTTTTTATTCAAGATATAAAATTTGGTTAAGTTTGCACAAATCTAGACTGTCTGGTGCAAATGATAAAATAAAGTTACAATATTCTTTTATTCTAAAATGTCCCCAATCTACTAATTCAAAATTCTTCAAATTCAATAATTTTTCTTTATACAAGAATTTTAAATAACCTTGTAGAAATTTAAACTAAGTTTGCAAGTAAAATTATAAAAAATGCAACCTTTCTTACAAGCGCTTTTAAGAAATTTGAATTGTATATATGTTGTTAACTTGAACTTAAATAATTCAATATTTAAGAAATGTGCAATGTGAGTGTCTACGTGTCTGAATAGTTTTCTAGTTAAACAACTACAATTTAGCTAATCTTGCATATTTTAACAACAATGACAGATTTTAGCAACATTAATAAGAACTCAAGTATTCTAGATTGTACACGAAGTGTGTGTTAAGGTCAAACCTAGCTGTGCTCTGACAAAGCTGGTTCGGTTTAAAAATGTTCATGTGGTAGAAACCTTGAGCAAGTGCATAGATATATGTATATTTATATTTATATATATCTGCGCCTGGTCTTCAAAAAGGTCTCGTATAGTGCGTGATAGGCCTTCAGAGCCCGCGGCGACCCCTCGGAGATTTCAACAGTGCTGTTGACGTAATTTCTCATGGTTGGTGCGCCGGGCCCGGCGCAGGCAACACACTGTTACTTTTACCAAGGACGGGGTAACGGTAGAGAACATACCGGTATTTCAGGGCCTCTTGCAGGGGGGGGGGGTGGTATCTATTAAGGCTCCTTCCTGCTTTTTCTCTCTTTTCTCAAATTTTACCTTTGTCAGTACATCCAAGCCTCCTCCTTGTTCAATGTCTATGCTAAAGTCATTTTAATGAAAGCATTGTTTTCCACTGCAACTGTCATGAACAATGAACATGGAAAATAAATTCTTCCTTTTGTAACTATAAATGCCTTTAAAAATCTACTCTTAAACCAACCGTCATAGGACTAATGCACAAATATTATCGATCCTAAATCAGTAATGGGTCTATACCAGATACCTAGACCCATATAGGTATACGCACTGACGCAGCCATAATACCTCATTAGTATGACGCGGATATGTTATCAGTAATGCGCAAAAACATTTCAAATAAATAATCAAATAATGTACGCACTGATTGTTCTAAAAATATAAATATTTTTTTATAAATTATACTTAATAACAGAAAAAGGATCTTGGCTAAATAAACCTATTTATTTTTCAATAAATCAAATTATCTCATTAAAAAAATTAACCAATAAAAATGATTGAGTTTAGCTTGAACAATTAGATTTTTCTTTATTCCAAATCTAGATTATTTTAAACAATTTGAAAATGTTGCGGAATATTTTGCTTGGTCAATATATTCTTCATTGTATATTGTAAACTCTATTTATTCTAAAAAATACCAAGATAATACCTTGTTGAAAAAATTTAATCTTTAATTTTTCTTTAATTTTCTTTTCTTTTTCAGGTTTGGGAATGGTTGCGGGAGAATATTGTAACTATGACGGATCCGATCAATCGTTTAGAGAATCCAGGTATACATCTTTCCAGTCGTTTATTTATAAATTCATTTTAAATGAATAAATAGATATAAAATGGCAAATGAATAAATGAATGTATGTATGATAAATAGATGAATATATGTATATTAATTCATCCTACATTCATTCATTTATTAATTGTGTCACCCATTTTATATTCATTTATTTATAATCTATTTATCCTATATTCGTTCATTTATTAATACATTAAAATTTATTTATCGCAAAAAATGAAAGAGGCTTTCGTCGAAAAATATTCGATTATAAAAAAATCAATTTCATTCCAAACAAATCGTTTAGATATTACAACCTATAGTCATCGATTTTTTTTCGACACATTCGTATATAGTTGCTATTTCATAATATTTTAGATTTTAAAAAAAATTAATATTTCGCTTACAACTTATTTCACGGCAGGCGCCAGATTTTCTGACATTCCTGGAAAATATGAAAATGTCGTTTTCATCATAAAAAACCTCGAAACAGGAATGAATGTTTTTATAAGTAACTCTCAGATCATAACAAATAAAATATACTATGAAATATCAACTATAAATATGAATGCGGCGAAAAAAAATTATGGCCAGATTATAGGTTATAATATCTAAATGATTTGTTTGGGATTAAATTGATTTTTGACCGATCCGAGTCGAATATTGCAACTTTTTGAATTTGTATGGACGCAACGTTCTTCGGTATTAGTCGTTTTTAACAATTTTCTCCTTATAGACACAACAGATAGAAGTAAGATTAGTAGCATGCAATCGCCATTGAATATCTTTCGACGTAAGCCTATACCACCTTTCATTTTTAATCTTTAATATATTGATTTAATATTCCTACATCTATTTATTCATTTAATTATTGTCATTGATTTTTATTAGTATTTATAGAAATACGACAAACTTTAAATAAATTTTTAATTCAATTTATAATCTGGCATTAAACACACCTTTTATTGATTTGGAACTGTTAGAAAATTTGACTTGTTTTCTTTAATCAATTTATGTAATTTTCTTATTTAGGGAATCCCATGATGACGCGATGATTCTGTCTGAATCTAAATATTTCCCTGGGCACCCTAGCCTTCCACCTGGACCATACAGTCCAACCTTCGGACGCAAGGATATCTTCTCCCAGAGGAAGCAGAGAGAGTTTATACCAGATAACAAGAAGGATGATTCCTACTGGGACCGGAGAAGGAGGAATAATGAGGCTGCGAAGCGCTCCCGGGAGAAGAGACGGTTGAATGATATGCTCCTGGAGACAAGGGTTCTAGAACTAACCAAGGATAATCATATACTCAGCGCCCAGCTCACCGCTATACATGACAAGTACGGGATCAAGGGAGAGAATATGATCTCCATGGACCAGGTTCTGTCGACCCTACCTTCAAATGATCAAGTTTTAAATTTTACCAAAAAACGATTGGGCATGTCTCCAAGTTCTCCTTCCCCCATACACTTTCAGAGCCTAACCTTGCCACCCCTCACCATGAACAACAACTCCTTGAACAACAACAACAATAACAACAACAATCATCATCAGAGAATGCGAAGTGTGTCCCCGGATCGGTACAGATCTCCCTCCCCTCACTACTCCCCCGTCCCAGCTCCTGTACAATCCAGCTACACAGATATCCGCTCATACGCTGAGACCGGACACATTTACAGGCACACAGCTCCCAACCCTAGCTACGACCTGGAGAACCAGGATGATAAAGACAGTGGTCTAGCTCTAAACCTGTCAACAGATAGATCAGGGAGTGATGGAAGATCCAGTGGAAGTGGATCTCCTCCTGTAACTAGCTCTAATATTGGTGAGCGTGAAGGGAGCTCAAGTGGAGATGAATCTGGTTATCCTAGATCACCAAACAGTGGAGAGTCCAGTCTACCACACAAACTCAGGTTTAAGACGGTGGTGAACGAGAAGGAGGCCGTGAGCAGTCTGCTCTCCCTCCACCAGATGGCGATGATGAAGCGCGAACCCTCCGAGCATATCACCCATTGGATGGAGAGGATGGAGGGTTCCGGGAGAATGCCGAATCCAGGATTCTTCGCATCCCTTCTCCCGCGCCAAGTAGAAGTACCAGTTGGAGAACCGCTCCTGAAGCGTGCGAGGCATATGCCCGAGAATCTGACCGACGAGGTTGCCCGCCTAACCAGCGAGGTTGCGACCCTCAAGGATATCCTGGTGAACCGTATGAAGGATGAATCAAGTGAGGATGGGAAGGAGTAGAGAGACTGATGTCTCGCATCCATGTTTGTCTGTTTTTTACTGTTGTGCTACAAACTAAATGTATCTCAGCGTGTACTGTGTACTGTGTAGTAATGTTTGTTGAAAACTACACTTTAACCATAAAATTTAACCCAATTTATTCATTATTTGTTGTGAACTTGGACCCATTGGCAATCTCCTTGATGTGATAAATTTAAACCAGAAAATTTGCCAAAAATTAGGATTTTTGAAATTTTAAAATCCCGGTGGATTAACTCGGCAAAATGTGATTTAAAATTTTGTTTGGCAAGATATTATTAACTGTTGTAAGACGGGCAGGGTTCGGAGACATGTTTAGATTTGTGAATATATCCTTGGTTTGGAGTTGAGTTGGGTTTCTAGCTCCGCTTTTTAGAATAATACCGTCAATAATAGGATTCTATAGCGCATTTGTATTATGTATATTTTTATGTTATTATCACGTTAAGCCCCATGTAACGCCCACCGACCCGCCAGGATGATTTTGTATCGGAGACCCGCCGAACTCTGCCCGCCTTCTCCGACTAGATATAATATTAAATTATATATATTTGTATCATATGTCCAAAATAAAACATTTTGATATAGTGAAGACGAACATGAAAGAACAGAGAGAGATAAGAGAGATAAAAATGTTTCCTCAAGAAATGCCTATTTCAAGGAATTTTTTTCATTTTCGAGTGTTTTGACTGATTTGAATCAATGAAATATACACGTTTTTCTTGCTGAAAAATGTAGTTCTCTTTAAATTATGACTTGCGAATTAATGCAGCAGACGATGCAGGATAGTGTAAGTTGAAAAATGACAATACTTTCCACATTATAAATGAGATAGAGGTTTGATGGGTACCGTTGTGAATCGGACGTGCAACTTTTTTTAATGGAATTTTAATTGAAATTACATTTAGATGCATAGAATTAAATTTTCTTGAGTTGCACATTATTTTTTTACATGTACATAGTGTGTACAGCATACACTTTAAACAACTTGTTTATGTGAAATATCATATGACATTTCATTAAAAAAATTCAATATCAAAATATGAAATGATGTTTATTGGGACACTCAACTTATATAGAAATATATTCAAAAGAAAAGAAAAACATTTTGATTTTGCCAAAATATGCAAATCACACACTTGTAGTTTACGATAACGCTGCATAAAATGGGAACTTAACTTATTCTAATGCCCGGTTTCTTTCTCTAGGATTCGATATTTATCATAACATTTTTAGTGAAAACAAATATTAAACATAATGTTAAAAAGTATGGTGACAATTTACCAGTTTTAAAGAAGTTTATTTCTATTGAATTATATTTGGTCTTCTTTCTTAACAGTTTCAATAAACTGCATATTAAAAACAAAATACAGGATGCGTCGATAATTATTAGACCATCGAACAAGAGATATACCCTTGGTCATTTATTAAATATGAAAAATCAAAGACGATCTACAAGATGTCTCTTCATTCTCATGTTAATTTGTTTGTCCTACACAATATTTATATACAGTATACTGTATATACATGTACAATTGTACATGTAGTATGTTATTGAAAACAAGTGATATTCCATAGATAATGCATCATAATTCCTAGTATTATCTTTACAGGGAGTTCCAAAATATGTACGAAACTTAAATAAAAACACTAAAAAAAGAAAGAACATCGAGTCTTAAAAATAGGATCGGTTAAATACAAACATAAAAACGTTTGAAACAAAATAAACAGCAAAGGAAATGGGCCTTTCCCGCAAACTCTTTTTTCATATTATGTTTATCTTTGCAACTCAAAGTCGAAGACCTTTATGAGATCAAATAATCTTAAAGGGACCTTTAAAGTTTGAAATGTCGACGGTTTACACCATCAGGTTGCAAAGATAAAGGGAAAAGAGCATTTGAGTTTGTGGCAAAGCGTTAGAGTTCAAACATAATGTTGATAGTTGAGAATTGCTTTCACATTTGACGACTATTCACATGGTTTCCCATGTTTATTGCTACTCCCTGTATAGTGCACACAAACTAAACACGTTGGCAAAAGTAATTCACTTGACCTTATAACAAAAATAAAATAAAAGTTATAGATATTTAGAAAATAAAACATGCAATTTAAAATTTTTATTCCACAAATTTTGTAAACATTGACAAAGTTCAATTAAAAATATAAATCAGGATCAATGTTTGAAAATTAAAGAAAACAAAAAATTAAAGAAAACAAGAAATTAAAGAAAACAAGAAATTAAAGAAAACAAGAAATTAAAGAAAACAAGAAATTAAAGAAAACAAGAAATTAAAGAAAACAAGAAATTAAAGAAAACAATAAATTAAAGTATGTTATAGATACGGTATTTTCTGTGAATAATCTCAAAGCAATAAATATAAACGTTTTGCAGAGACAATCTTAACCTCAACAGAATTAGACGATATTTTTAACAGCAAGACTAACAGATTTCTAATTTAAAAGTTTGAAGTTGTGTCCCAAAAATTATTCTTGGATGATAGTTTTATCTTGGGACACTACACGGTGTATATTGCGTATGGCTTCTTCAACCCCGAACCCAGTTTTGCCGAGTACAGTGTGGTAAGGATAATCTGGAGTCATGTATCCTTGAAGTCAAATCTTGCATTCGGAACCAGTCAACCCTTCTCAAGAACCTAGGGGACCCTAAACAGAATTTAATGAAATCAAATGAAATGAAAATCATCCTCTAAACATATATAAACATAGAGTTCCGGCAGTTCATGGAGTTAGCTTCTAGAGTTCCTATAGTTTATTGAGTTCCTATAGTTCATTGAGTTCCTATAGTTCATTGAGTTCCTATAGTTCATGAAGTTTAGCTTCTAGAGTTCCTATAGTTCATTGATTTCCTATAGTTTATTGAGTTCCTATAGTTCATTGAGTTCCTATAGTTCCTTGAGTTCCTATAGTTCATTGAGTTCCTATAGTTCATTGAGTTCCTATAGTTCATTGAGTTCCTATAGTTCATGGAGTTCCTGCAATTTGTTAAATTTCCAGTGTTTCTTGAGTTTCCTAAGTTCTTAAAAGTAAATGAGTTCATGGAGTTTCCTGAATTTCTTTAAGTTTCTTAGGTTCCTGGAGTTTCCTGAGTTTCTTGATCTTCTTGAGTTCCTAAAGGTAATTAAGTTCCTGGAGATCATAGAGTTTCCCCAAGTTCCTAGAGTTCATGGAATTCCTAGAGTTCCAGGAGATCATAGAGTTCCTAAAGAATCTGGAGTTCAAAGAGTTTCTGTAGTTTCTAGAGTGAATAGAGTTCCTAGAATTACTGGAGTTAGTTGAGATCATATGAGTTCCTGGCGTTTCTGTAGTTCCTGGATTTTTAGTGGTTCATACATAGAGTTTCTGGAGTTCTGAAGGTCTTAAAACTGCAGGAGTTCCTTTAGTATCTGAAGTTTCTGGAGTTCTGGAGATCTTAAAGCTGCCTTTCCGGAGTTTTGCAGATCTTAAAGCTGCCGGAGTTCTTAGAGTGTCCGGAGTTTTAGAGATCATAGTTGCCGCAGTTCTTAGAGTGTCCGGAGTTATAGAGATCTATAGTTGCCGGAATGTCCTAATTTCAGCAACAAACCCCAGTTTTAAATAAACAATTATGCCGAGTCTTGTATAAACAAGAATATCGCAGTGTCCTTATGAAACAAGTTGAATGTTCACATTAAAATACAAAAGTAAAAAAATGTTCTGATTGAGGTTAAAAAATAGTTATGCAACAGGATCACATTTCAAGCTGAGCAACTCGAGCCATTGAAAAGTATCATTCTTTTTACAAAAATTCAGACTAATAATACAAACAGTCGGAAACCAGGTTAAATGTATCGCTATAGCATTTTTAGGCCAATATAAGATTACGAAACTTCTTTTTATATAATTTGATGGAGAAAAATCTTCAAAGGGTATTAGAGACTTATTAGAAATGAGATGGCTCGGAATTTTGTATTAAATCCATCATAACGAATTAATAAAAGGATGAAAAAAGAAATCAAGGAAAAGACCCTGGTTAAGCAAAAAAATATTCTATTTTTAGTTAGTAACAGAAGTTTATTTGATAAATTAAACATGTAAGTTCAAGTGTCCCTTCATATAATTTACTACAGTACTTTTTAAACCTATATTTATCTTACTATATATAGATTAGTTTCTATTGATAGTTTCTTCATAAAAAAAAGATTTGCGGATTTATACTGCCGGGACAATGAAGGAAATGTTTTAAGCTTCAAGATAATAAAACGACGATTTATTTACATAGAGGTTAAATGCAATTGCATCGAACATGCTACTCTTTAAATTAAAGTTAATTTGATTTGAATTAGGTTTCAGTCCCTTAAAGGGAGTTTTCGCGAAAAATGAAAGGGGGTATAGGCTTACGGCGAAAAATTAGCGCTTTTTAGGTAAACTGTCTGCTTAAAGGGAGTGTTTGCGAAAAATGAAAAGGGATATAGAGGCTTACGTCGAAAAATATTTGATGGTGATTGCCACTAATCTTACTTCTATCTGTTACGTCTGTAAGGAGAAAATTGTTAAAAACGACTCATGCTGAAGAACGTAGAGTCCATACAAATTCAGAAAGTTGCAATATTCGACTCGGATCTTAAAATAATCAATTTAATTCCAAGCAAATCATTCAGATATTACGAACAATAGTCATCGATTATTTTTCGACGCATTCGTATATAGTTAATGTTTCATAATATTTTTGATTTTGTTTAAAAAAAAAATAATATTTCACTGCCGCTGGATTTTCTAAAAGTCCTGGAAAATAATCGTCTTCATTTTCCAAAATCCTTGAAAAAAAAAATATTATGAAATATCAACTATTTACTAATGCAACGAAAAATTATTGATGATTATTGGTTGTTATATCTGAATGTTTTGTTTGGAATTAACTTGAATTTTATCATTATTATTATATTATAAAATATCAACTAAACACGAATGCGTCGAAAAAATCGATTATTATAGGTTTTAATATCTGAATGATATGTTTGATATTAAATTGACTTTTTTACGATCCGTGTTGAATATTACAAGTTTTTGAATTTGTAAGGACCCTACATTCTTCAGTATGAGTCGTTTTTAACTTCTTCGTATAGACCCAACAGTTAGAAGTAAGATTAGTGGCAATCACCATCAAATATTTTTCGACGTAAGCCTCTATACCCCTTTTCATTTTTCGCAAACACTCCCTTTAAGCAGACAGTTTACTTAAGAGTTTATTTTGTTTTTTTTAAAAAATCACAAAATTTGGTGACCCTGCCGTTACAATTAAAATATAACACAAAATTACAATTGGAGTAAAGAAAGAATACACCCCCCCCCCTCATCTCTCATGCTTTGAAGGTTAAATGTATTTTCATATTTAGAGTATTATTTTGCATAAACATATTTCTAAGTTTTCATTTATATAAAACTGGTTACAAAAACAATAAATCATACTTTTGAGAGCAAATTTATGTAATTGAATTAAATCAGAAATATAAAATTTTGAAAGAAAATATCATTTGATTCAAATATTCTGATTCTACAGGGTGTCCCAATAAACATGGAAGTTCAGTGACGATTTTGAGATCGTCTTTGTAAATGATTTTTGGATTTAGTATGGTGATGCCTGCTAGAAAAGCTGTAATCCGTCTGTTATAGAGTTAAGAATTTGTTTGATTATGTTTTTTTTTTGCTTACTGTAGTGTACTTCGTAATATCAGAAATTATTGTATACAAACACAGTACAGTTGCTCCTCTTCAATGTTTATATTGAAGAAATGTTACAGAACGTCATACAATGTTTTGCAGAATAACAAAACAGTCTTTTACCGTTTCATGAAATATTCTCTAGCAGATGTAACTTTATTTTTACCATTGAAATTAGGTAACACAACGCTAATTCTTTACAAAGCCAATTTCGAATTCGTCTCTTAACTCTAATGTTTATTGGGACACCCTGTAGTTTTATAAACATAAATTAATATTTTCATGAATCTTTTTGAATTTATAGATTTTTGATAAATTAATCAAGCCTAAACATTCTGAAAAGTGATCATGTATTCTAATATATTACTACTCTTATATTCTTTAAGATACTTTTCATATTTAATATGTAGTTACCCAAAACAAAGAAATGATTACTCGCCACATTCTTTACTTTTATATAGTAGTTACCCAAAACAAAGAAATGATTATTCGCCACATTCTTTACTTTTATATAGTAGTTACCTAATATACAAGAAACTGATTACTCGCCACATTCTCTACTTTTATATAGTAGTTACCCAATACAAGGAACTGATTACTCGCCACATTCTCTACTTTTATATAGTAGTTACCTAATATACAAGAAACTGATTACTCGCCACATTCTCTACTTATATATAGTAGTTACCCAATACAAGAAACTGATTACTCGCCACATTCTCTACTTTTATATAGTAGTTACCCAATACAAGGAACTGATTACTCGCCACATTCTCTACTTTTGTATAGTAGTTACCCAATATACAAGGAATTGATTACTCGCCATATTCTCTACTTTTATATAGTAGTTACCCAATATACAAGGAATTGATTACTCGCCATATTCTCTACTTTTATATAGTAGTTACCTAATATACAAGAAACTGATTACTCGCCACATTCTCTACTTATATATAGTAGTTACCCAATATACAAGGAATTGATTACTCGCCATATTCTCTACTTTTATATAGTAGTTACCCAATATACAAGGAACTGATTACTCGCGACATTCTCTACTTATATATAGTAGTTACCCAATATACAGGGAATTGATTACTCGCCATATTCTCTACTTTTATATAGTAGTTACCCAATATACAAGGAATTGATTACTCGCCATATTCTCTACTTTTATATAGTAGTTACCCAATATACAAGGAACTGATTACTCGCGACATTCTCTACTTATATATAGTAGTTACCCAATATACAGGGAATTGATTACTCGCCATATTCTCTACTTTTATATAGTAGTTACCCAATATACAAGGAACTGATTACTCGCTACATTATCTTCTTTTATATAGTAGTTACCCAATACTGATTAAACTTAAATTTTCAATCCCTATACATTTGTAACCTGATAAAGTGTAAGCTTTTGGTATTTCAAACTATGAATTCTGTTAGAACAAATCTTTAGACCCTCAGGATGCAAAGATCTTGGAATTCGAAATTTTAGAGATTGTGACAAACATTCAATTCCTTTATTCCTTGAGCTCTGTAAGATTTGATTAAAATTTATATAACATTTTTTAACAAACTCCGCCGTCTTCCCCAATAGCATGAGGATATTCTCCATCAACGTGCAGCATATACTTTCCTTCCTCACCTCTTAATATATAAAACATTAAAGGGACAATAAAGGGACTGTTGGCGTAATTTCAAGTGACTATCTCTCTATCAGGGACGTGTCAGATTCACAACAATTAAAGAGAGAACGAGTAAACATTCACTATTTTCTATTGCTGTGGTTTCTGTGCAAAAGGGACTTGCGCTTTTCTGCTGAAGATACAATGAGAGAAAATTATCAGAATTTTAACACGTTTCAAGCTAGAAAAACGACGATATCTTCCACATTATTTATCAGAATAGGTTCAAAAGGTAGCGTTGTAAGTCGAACATTCCATTCCCCCTCTTGAACGGAGGGTCCTTTTCAATTACAATACTTATTCTTTTCCCTTTAGAACTTTGTCTCATTAAAATGTCGGAGATGTCCTTGTTTTTATCTTAATATTGATAATTTTCTATTGCGCATTCTTCAAAAAAGTGACTTGCAGACTTGAGCAGCAGAAAGATATTAAATTGACAAAAAAAAAAACGATTGTACCGGATCGAGTGTATCGTGCACTACTGACTATTAAACTGGAGAGTCACAGAAAATTACGTCTATGAAGTCCCATGTCACGCAAATAGGAAACTGATTTTAGCATAAACAGTAACACGTATTTCTATAATTCATGTACAACTCGATAGTTATGTACAAGTCTACAGTTCATGTACAATATTATTGTTCATGTACAAGTCTATAGTTCATTTACGATATTATAGTTCATGTACAATTCTATAGTTCATGTACAATTCTATAGTTCATGTACAATTTTATAGTTCATGTACAATTCTTTAGTTCACGTACAATTCGATACTTCATGTACAATTCCATAATTCATGTACAATTCTATAGTTCATGTACAATTCTATAGTTCATGTAAAATTCTTTAGTTCATGTACAATATAGAATTCTAAAAAACATTCATAATTGTTCGATTTCTAAGTTTTATAAATGAATTATTTTACTAGATTTTGCTTGGATGAACGTGTTCCCCACAAAGGATAAGACTTCAAAGACGACTGTGCGGAATTAATTCAGACTTATCACTTACATTCAAGGTTCAAGCGTTGTTATAAATTTTTTTTCTCCCAAATCATGACATAGACCATTAAAAGACTATATTCACAAAAATTGACCAAATTTAACCTTCAATCATCATTATTTAAGGAATTTTTAGTCGGCATTAAAATCTTATATTTTTGGGTATCCCTGTATGTATTAAAATCTCATATTTTTTGGTATTCCTGTATGTATTAAAATCTTATATTTATGGGTATCCCTGTATGTATTAAAATATCATATTTGTGGGTATCCCTGTATGTATTAAAATCTCATATTTGTTGGTATTCCTGTATGTATTAAAATCTTATATTTATGGGTATCCCTGTGTGTATTAAAATATCATATTTGTGGGTATCCCTGTATGTATTAAAATCTCCTATTTGTGGTTATCCCTGTATGTATTAAAATCTCATATTTGTGGGTATCCCTGTATGTATTAAATCTCATATTTGTGGGTATCTCTGTATGTATTAAAATCTCATATTTGTGGGTATCCCTGTATGTATTAAATCTCATATTTGTGGGTATCTCTGTATGTATTAAAATCTCTTATTTGTGGGTATCCCTGTATGTTTTAAAATCTTATATTTGTGGGTATCCCTGTAATTGTATGTATTAAAATATCATATTTGTGGGTATCCCTGCATGTATTAAAATCTTATATTTGAGGGTATCCCTGTATGTATTAAAATCTTATATTTGTGGGTATCCCTGTATGTATTAAAATCTTATATTTGTGGGTATCCCTGCATGTATTAAAATCTTATATTTGTGGGTATCCCTGTATGTATTAAATCTCATATTTGTGGGTATCCCTGTATGTATTAAATCTCATATTTGTGGGTATCCCTGTATGTATTAAAATCTTATATTTGTGGGTATCCCTGTATGTATTAAATCTCATATTTGTGGGTATTAGCTTTCAATTAAAAAACTTTATAGTTCATCTAACCTTGTGATTCCTGCCCCCATCAAAGCTGTTGTGCTATCACAGCAGGATCCAGCCAGGAAATCTTCCCAAGTTGGACACAGCCAGGACAAAAACTGTTTCCCTTCTACTAAACCAACCACACTCTCAGCATAGTAGTCATTGGCACGCCCATGGCTGCATCCACCCCTAGACAACAATGAATGCAATTCTTTGATAGACACTATTCAAAAGCAATTCTACAAAACGACGAAATTAAAAAGACATTTTTTGAAGTTATAGCTTCCCAAAAAATGGAATTTCCCAGGTAGTAAGTTTCTAAATGGCAATTTTCCAAGTACAGGAACTTTCCAAGTATACAATTTCACAAGTTGAAACTTCTTAAATGTCAATTACCCTAGTAGCAACTTGTTAAATTTACAATCTCCCAAGTAGTAACTTCCTACATGGCAACATCCCAAGTTACAACTTCTTAAAGAAGTCTTTGCCACAAAGTCTGATTGTCTAATCTCTAAATGTTTTCAATCCAATGTATAACTATAAATATAAATATCAAAGGTTTCATTCAGTTGCAAAGATTAAGGGATAAGAAATTTGAGTTTGTAGCAAAGACTCAATTCCTTTACAGTTTCCCATGAAGTAACTTTCCTAATGAGTACTTCCAAAATACACAATTTCCCTTGTAGTAACTTCCCACATGGCAACTTTTCAAGCAGCAACTTCCCAAAAAAGCATATTACCAACTTCCATGCACAATAATCCAAGTAGTAACTTCCAAAATATGCAGTTTCCCATAGTAGCAACATCCCAAATACACACTTTCCCAAACACTAGTTTCCCAAAAATGCAATTTCCAAGAATAAGAACATACAATTTTCAAAAGATAGCAACTTCCCAATTATTCAAATTCCCAAGTACCATCTTCATTATTACGCAAGTTTCCAAAGTAGCAACTTCCCAAATATGTAATTTGTAGGAAGACAAATAGAAATTATTAATCAAACTTCAAATAATCTGGAAAATGTGTATTTGCAGATATTCAAAACAGTACTTACAAGATCAGATCATTTATGGTATTAATGCTACAAGCTCCATCTGTGCATATATCTGTACAATCAGGCTGATGTTTACCCCCTGCAGGGTAGAAATCCATATGTCCAATCTGCTTCGGAATAGACAAGCATCCCTACTCATTAAAGGAAATCATACAGTCATAATCGCAAAAAACGCATGACACAGGCTTGCCTATTCATTTAGATTTTTTCTTTTATTTTTCGGTTTTCTGTTTCTTTCTTTGACAAATCATTTAGTGAAATAGTAAAATGCCACATTTAAGGCCAAACATCAAATTTTACCCTATTATCGTCATACATTTTTAAAGAGTGTTGAGTCACAATTAAAGTCTCATCCTTAGTGGGTGTCCCTGTAAAGGCAGCTTAAAAAAAATTCTTCAGCGGTATTTCTAATCTAATTAAAAAACAATGGCGAAAGTTATCCAGCTTCTTTGTAATTATCATTGATAAATAAATTAAAATATACTCTTTCTTTAAAAAATAGATCCACATATACAGGGTTATTCACAAAGGATGAGACTGTAAGGACGACTTGAAACTCTGTAAATAGGAAGATCTTAAGCATTAAATTAAGTTTTCTGCGTTTCATGTGGTCTTTCAATGACTTTTTTAAAGAAAGAAAGAAAGCAGTTGCAGGGAATCATGAATATAAGGAAACAGACATCATAAATTCCGAATAGTCGTCTAAAGTCTCATTTTTTGTGGGTAACCCTAAATGTTTTTGTAATTTCCGTCTAGAATGCAGCAAAGTTTTGTACTAATTAGGCTGAGTTTTGTTTCATTTCTCCCAGAAACTGCAGTACACTTTTTGTAAACAAAGATATGTGGATTTATGGTGTATCACTTTCTTTGTCAAGAAATTGGGTTCTTGCCACAAACTCAAACCCTATATTTTTGCTACCTGATGGCGTAAGCCTTCGATTTTTAAAACTTAGATGATTTAACATATCTTATATATCAAGGGTCTACGTCATTGGGTTGTAAAGATATAGGAATTAGAAAATCAGAGTTTGCGCCAAACCCAATCCCTTTTCTGTGTAGTAAGATTTTTTAGATATTTGCAAGGCATTTTCAGAGTAAAGAAAAAATGGGATCCATTACATTTTTAACGCTTTTTGCTACTTATTATCCAAAATTCAATTAAACAAAGTTAGCAATCAGCGATGAAAAAAAACTTCATAATAGGATGGGGTAAAAAATAAATTAATTCAAAACTTTATTTAATCTTACTGGTTAAAATTGAAAATTTTAGATCCCACGAAATCTGAGCTTTTGAAAATATTTTTTTTTTGATTTTTGTGATCGTCTGAATAGTTGAAAATCTGACCTCCCAGATCATTCCACTGTTGGTATGAATAACATCAACAAAATCAGCATCCTCCTTGTCAAGCCTATTCTCTTTAGTTGCAAAATCAAAAGCAGGCAGTGCAGGATCAAGCCCTGGAAAATAGGAAATTATATTTTTCTCTTCAAATATGAGACATTAGATAAAATTAACTGACTTAAAGGCTCAGCAGACGTAATAACCCTTCATTTATAAAGTTGCATGTCTATAAAAAACCTCTCTAAACTCTGCTATATTACTTTGATTATAAAATGTGTATCGTGAAACTATTGACCTGTGATTCTAGGTATCTTTTCACCGGTCAGTTCTTCATACTTCTTACCCATAAACCCAACTACATGAGCACCTAGACTGTGTCCTATCAGGTGAATCTTATCAATACCTAAAAATATTAAAGTTTTGTCCTTTCAAACTGTCTGTAATTCTTTTCTTTTGTAATATTTTTTACACTCAAAACATAAACTCAAGTAAACTTCCATCTACAGGATGTTTTTTTTTAATTCTGTAATTGTTAAAAAGTTTATATCTCAGTCACTAACAAAAATATTTTTAATCTAAAAAAAGTTCTGAGTAGCTTAATAGTGGACGTTTTATAATCCGTACAGAAAATCTGGGTAATAAAAACGTATAATCCCCAATTTCATATTTTCTGTCATATCATATTTTAACCAAAAATCATGTTTTCTGAAGTGACGGACCAGAAAGAATGCTCCGATCTTTTTGAAATTGTAAGACGACGTAGGTCTGATCATAGAGAGGGTTCACTAAAAATTACAGCCAGATAGATCAAATAATGAGGGCGCTGCGTTAAAAACCATGTCGCCCTCTTTTAGCCCACGTCCTCTCCAGAACCAGTTTGTGTTCCAAAGAGAACGGAGGCCATTTTTAACATTTAATGAAGAAATCTAAATAATGTTTTTGCTATATACTGCAAACGTCCATATATGTGTAGATATCCTTAACTGTTTCATAAATGTAATTGATGATGATTTAACATGTGCTCTACTAGAATCATAAAGTACAGCATCAAAAAAAGTATAAAAAGTGTCAGATCCCATTTACATCGGTAACCTTTAAACCTTTAGCTGAGCAATAACAATGTAAATGATATCTTCATTTTTCTTTCTGAAAAGTGTTAAATTCTGATAAGTCTTCGCAGCATCTAAATTATAATGATTATAATGCGCAATTCACTTTTATTGTGAAACCACCAAGATAAAAAATAATCGCATTTTAGGTAGACAATTCTATTATTTTAGATATATCATGCAGTTACTTGAAATATTTTTTATTTGTTTTTTAATTTTTATAAAATTCTGCTTTTTTCGATCTGACGGATTGATTCTACGATTTTCCCATCTCTTTTCCATGTCAAACATTAAAGCTCAAAAATTCTGCCTGTTTCGTTTCGACGGATTGATTGATTGATCTTTTTTTCAATTTTTAAAGGATACACGAAAGCGAGTAATATGGTGCCCTCTGAAAGGTATACTCCTGGTTCTCACGACGACGCACACCATCGGAGAAAAAACTTAACGGTATCTCCGAAGAGACGACGGAAAATCAGAGATATTCCTACACACAAGATGCCACTCTTAAACCTACTCGATCGATCAACATATCCCTTATAAATCGATCTTTTCAATCGAGCATATTTTTTCTTTTTTTTGCATTTCTAGTTTAACACAAACTTATCAGAAGTTTCCAGTAAAATTATTGCCAAAAAATATTGAAAATTGAGACCAGATTTAATTTCAAAACACGGAGAAAATAAAATGTCATGAATATACTTGAGAATTTTACCGTTCATCCCTCGAATATTACTAAATGTAAAACTTGCTATAAAATATAGCATATATATAATTGTAAAAAATGCTTTTTCGTAACAAAATCCCTTGGAATTATAACATGTAAATTTTGTAAAATCCAATAACCTTACGAAAATAAAAATATCTCGTTTTAAAAAAGTTACTTGAAATAATTTTGTGGGATGTTTATATAAATGTTTATTATAATAATTTAAAGAGTATATCTAGATATCTAATATTAGTGAAAAGATTCATGTAAATTTTGGAAGATATAATTGACCTGCTATCTCAACAATGACTTGAATCAGGTTCACAGAATGATCTCCAACAAATCTGAAAGATAAATCTTAAAGTCTTATGTTTTTAAATATGATGTTTATTATTATAAGCAACTGATAAGTTTGAGCTGAAGTTTGTGTTGTAAATACTGGGATCAAGCATTGATCTTCATTTGAAGCAGATTAATTTAATTAGTTTCACGCGTTTGTCATATCTTGCAGGGATAATTTAATTAAAGGATCAAAACATTAAAAGTGCCCACATTAGATATCAAGATCAAACGTTCAAGATTTAGGATTCGCTTTAAAGGGATTTTTTCCTTAAAAATCTCATATTCATGAATTTCTTTCTTTTTTAAATGAGAAAAAGATAACGTGTATGACCAAAAAGTACCTTGTCCTAGCCGCAGCACCAAAATAATCAAACCACTGAGCTAGCTTCCCCCAGTCCACAGTTATTATGTTATAGTCTCCAACTGTAATTATAAATAAAAAAATAGTCATTAGTCATTCATTAGTCAGTTAGTCTTCTAATCGAAGGGTTACCTGTGTTAAAAGCTTTAACGTAATCCCTAGCGAATCCCAATCCATTTGAAGAATAGCCATGACTTTAAAACAAAATACATTTGAATTTGAATAAATTATTATTATCTTTTAATTCTTCTAAAACAATTCAACAAAGTAAATAGATAAAGGGTTTTGAAAAAAACACTTAACATTTTTTAGCCGATATCTACAGTGATTTAGAAGATTTTTGCACAACAATTCTGGGAAGATGCTCTCAAGTAAGTTATAAATATACTTCAAAATCAATTTAAAGATGAGATTAAATCAGCACATCATGGAAAAGTTTTGAAAAAACTGTTGATAAGGCAAATTCAGGCCTACGTGCAAAAAAACATTTACAAAGCTCAATGAGCTGGTCAAAAACTTCGGCTTAAAAATAACAAGAATCTATTTAAAGATATCCAACAAAACCTAAATACTCTTAAACCATGTATGATCCTAACATCATATAGAAACATTATGAAATTAATTTAACATTATAATCGGGTAATAATCAGGCTTTTGAGAGTAATAACTAAGCCTTTGAACGTAATAATTAAGCTTTCAGAGAAATTAGTGTGAATTTTTTTTCACCAAAACTCTTTCTGTATGAAGAAATAAAGCCCTAATTTATACTTCTGCTAATACCTGAGAAAAATTGTTGGATTAGAAGGATTAAATCCTGCCAGACTAAAGGATTCTGGAGTAAAATCCACCTCTATAGGATTATCTAATCCAGTATTCCTAAACGGGATTTATATTACAAACATTGAAAGTATAATCATTTTTAATATCGTACCTGGAAACCTAAGGTCGGAATTAATAAATAGAAGAAAATAGTTCAACTATCCATATAAACAAGGTTTTATTATTTCCAGCCTCTCATCCTATATTCTTTATTTAGAATTCAATGATGACAAAAAACATCTTTCAGGCGAAAGTTATCAGTTTCCAAAAAAAAAATTGGTTAGATCGGTTCTGCCGTTTATTGGATAAAACAAAACAGATTGACAAACTAAAAATATATATTGATTGTTATTGAGTCGAGGAAAGGAAAATAATGTGGATATAAAAGTGAAACCAACAGACCTGGTAAAAAGATAGAAATGTACATCATCCTCATTTGGTTCCATTCCACGCTCCATTTTGGTAACTTCATCATCTATCTCTTGATACTTGGATTCAACTATCAAATACACACCAAATAAAAACGCAATATGAAGTCCAGTACGCATATTGATTTACTGCGGATAGTTTGTAAAATACTTATCTTTGACGTAATATTTGATAACACACATTTTTTTTAAGAAGTTATTTTCTTTTTATATATTTATCAAACATGGAACTTCCATTCGCCGAACCGGAGGGAACGGTGAAAACAGTCTCTGTTAATGATTTTAAGATTTAAGATTTGCAGAATAATTCATATTTGATTGATTTGATGAAAACCATTGCCATAAACTAAAATTTTAAACCATTAAATTACAATAATAATTTATAATAATAATGATTATAATAATTGTAATAATTATAATAATGAAAGTAAAAATAATGATAATAATGATAATAAAAATGATAATAATAATAATAATAACAGTAATAAATACAGTGATAACCAGAAAACTCTGGAATAGGAAGTCGACTTTTAAACTCCAGTTAGGACTTTAAATTGTTCAATGGTAGCACAGCATTTGTGCAGTGGAAACAGGCTCATTTTACTTAATCAATAATTTAAGAATTTACTTTGTTATTTCCGACTTAATTACATCACATTTTATAGGTTTAGCTTTAAAGTTTAGAGTTTAGAGAATCAAAAGAACATTGATGGAAAAGAGAAAATGTTTTTTGTCAACAACGATTTTGCAAAGTTTTCAAAGTACAATAAAACAAGTAGAAAACTAAGCTTTTCCATGGTTCTGTAAAATGGCCCAACTTATATAATCAGCAGTGGCGGACATAAGGGGGGTTATTGGGGTTATTTACCCCCCCCCTAGAATCCTGGGGGTAAATACCCCCCTAGAATCCTGGGGGTAAATGCCCCCCCCTAGAATCCTGGGGTTAAATACCCCCCTTAGAATTCTAGGGGTAATTACCCCTGAACATATTTTCAGGCCCTGAATAGCAGGAGCACTCCATTTGCTGCCTCTACAAGTAACAGTTCCAGTTGCCTTGACCCCTTCCCTTCAAAAAAAATACATTCCCTATTGATTAGTCTGCACTTTTGTAAAGACGACTATTTTTATGATAGTACAAGTTTTTGCGGCATTTTGCAGATGCTTAAACTTTTAGTTCGGTTACTTCAGCAAAGTTCACTCACACACAACTCGTCATAATAAAAAATATATATATTATGAGTTAATTTCCTAAAATACGATTTTTGGACCCCCCGCAGCCCCCCTTAAAAATATTTACCCCCCCCTACAGAATCCTTATGTCCGCCCCTGATAATCAGTTAGAAATATCGACATACAAACTAAAAAATGTCCGTTAATGATGATTTACAAATATTTTAGAAAGCTGACAAAAGAACTTATAAGAAGAAAGGTAAATATAGTCTGCAGTGGTAAATAGCATACATAATGCAAATTTTAATACTCTTTCCCATAAATATATCTATTTATCTAATATTAATGCTATTTCTCTACACTACACTCCACTACAGACAAAAGGAGCAGGTCTATTTTATGTAACACTACGGGAAGGACTTGATGAGCTCTTCTAGTTTTGGTTTTAAGCGCAATGTTCTAATCACTAAAATTAAACTTAGCTTATTTGAGCTTATTAAAGTATTCATAGTTTGAAATATCTCAGGTCTACAGCGTTGGGTTGCAAAGAAATATGGACTAGAAAATCAGCGATTGTGGCAAAAACTAAATTCCTTTACTTTAATTTGGTGTGACTCCCTTAACCCAATCAACGTAAAATATTATCCCATTAATATCTAATAATACTTACATAAAAAAAGATTTTTTAATTTTCTGATCTCACTATTTTCTAACTGCATTGTAAGATTAACTCGATACACTGTATCTATTTATATAATGTTGTAATCTCTGTTTGTATGGACGACCAGAACTCATGATTCCCTTGACCGATATGTCTCATCGGGGAACTCGGAAGAACCACGGGATTGTTCTTAGCTTGGTTTTGAGGTTCTCAGTGGAGCAGGTCCACTTTTAAAAATAGCCAAAAATTGTAATTTACGACCAAGCGCGGGTAAACGGCGAAAGTAACTATGAGCACCCTGGGCAACGCTGGGTACTCAAGCCAGTATATCATAAACTCACAGGTAATAGCAAAGAGGTAAAGTACCCTCCCCCCCTTTCAACAAAACACAGCTTTGCCCCTGATTAGAAATGTTTAATTGAGCTCTATCTTTTTATACAGTTTGCACTCTCTGATTGTTTGCGTCTCGCCATTACTTAGAATCTATCAAAGATATAAATAAATGTTCACAATACCCCTCAGCTTATAATCCTCATGAATACAAATACCCCTCAGCTTATAATCCTCATGAATACAATACCCCCCCTCCTTTTGTACATGGATATCATATCATATGTATAAGACAATTTTTGAGCCAGCTAAGACTCTGAACATGCTGATTTTTTTATGTCTAGCTTTAAAATTTTATTGTGCAATAAATATAAAACAAATCGAACCCTTGTTTCTGTCCTAGAGAACGTTTTTGTGTCCCCCCCCCCCCCTCCTGTAAATTTTGTACTTTTTTTTAAAGATTACTTCTGTAACATATGGGGGGGGGGNAATACCCCTCAGCTTATAATCCTTATGAATACAAATACCCCTCAGCTTATAATCCTCATGAATACAATACCCATCAGCTTATGTATATACTGAGATCCAAACTGCTATTAAAAGTTTCATCAATTTTTAAGATTGGGTCGACTTTAAAGTGTTGCAACGCCTTGGTCTTTTATTTTGCCAACCTAATTCACAAATATTATTCCGTAGCCATAGACATGTACATTTGAAAACTATAAAGCATTGTTATTTATCGTTAGTTTTTAAAAATACTGATTTTTACGTGAAAACTTGCAACCTTTGGATAACTGTGTAAGATCCTCATGAATATTCACAATATCCCTCAGCTTATATACTGCTCATGAATATTTACAATACCCCTCAGCTTATATACTGCTCATGAATATTCACAATACCCCTCAGCTCATATACTGCTCATGAATATTCACAATACCCTTCAGCTTGAATACTGCTTATGAATATTCACAATACCCCTCAGCTCATATACTGCTCATGAATATTCACAATACCCCTCAGCTCATATAATGCTCATGAATATTCACAATACCCTCAGCTTATATACTCCTCATAAATGTTCACATTACCCCACAGTTGATAATGATCATAAATGCTCACAATACCCATCAGCTTATATACTCCTCACAAATATTCATAATACCTATTAGCTTATATACTCCTAATAGATGCTCACAATACCCCTTCAGCTTATATTCCTCATAAATATTCACAATACCTCTCAGCTTATATACTCCTCATAAATGTTCACATTACCCCTCAGTTGATAATCATCATGAATGCTCAGTGCTCACAATACCCCTCAGCTTATATACTCCTCATAAATGTTCACATTACCCCTCAGTTGATAATCTCTCATGAATGTTCACTATATCCCTGGGCTCATAATCCTCATGAATGTTCACAATACCCCTCAGCTTTATTCCTCACTAATGTTCATAATACTCCTCAGCTTATAATCCTCATGATTGCTCACAATACCCCTAAGCTTATATTCCACATTAATGTTCACAATAACCCTCAGCTTATAATCCTTTAATAAGTGTTTAAAGACAAAAATGATTCTTCTGAATTTTACATAAATATTTACCTTGGTACTAATTAAAGTAAAAAATCAAGACTCGAAGAGATGCATTCAAGCCTAGAGTTTTTGAGCTACAGCCTTGAAACTTTGCATGCAGGCGCGGAAATACTCCAAGATTTATGACGTAAAATTTTAAAGCTGCAGGTCGAAATACTTTTTGAGTTATTAAAGATTGAAGTTGAGGAGGTAGAATATGTGGAAGCTTAAGCCTGTGTATAATTGCACCCCGCGACCCCTAGGTTTATGTATGTAGAGCAATCCGACTGGAACAGCAGAGATTCTATATGTTCTAGCTCCTCAACAGATTTCGGTAGTGTGCCTTCATTTTTGAAGCAAAAAAATGTTCAAGTCGCCAGCTCTCATGGTTAATAAGGTTATGGTCTAGATATTTATTAGAACATCTTTATATAATCTTCATAAATCAACATGCTCCTCCATCTTCACCTAGAGCATGAGGGGATTCTCCTCTAACATTAAACATATATCTCCCCTCGACACCCCTAAATATCAAGCAAAGTTAGTACAAGTAAAAAAAAATATACTTAAAAGGAACGGAAGCGTAATTTTAAATGACCCTACATGGAATAGATTCCAATGCCCGATTTACAACGGTACCCTTGAAATCTTAATCTGATTAAAACGTGAAAGATAACATTTATTTTTGTGAACTTCTTCATAAAGCACGAAATGCGAGAGTTACTTGCACAAAAAACCACACATGAAAATAAACCAGTGAAAGAAACAAAACATAGATATTTAATTTATGCTTTATCAGACAAAGATTTTACGGGTTCTGTTTAAATCGGGCGTTGTAATCCTTGCCCTGGAGGGTCACTTGAAATTACGCTTACAGTCCCTTTCAGATCAATATCAAACCTTGTAATCCCAGCCCCCATAACAGCAGTGGTGCTATCACAGCAGGATCCAGCCAGGAAATCTTCCCAAGTAGGACACAGCCAGGACAAGAACTGTTTTCCTTCTACCAAACTTAGTACACTCTCCATATAGTAGATGTTAGCACGTCCATGACTGCATCCACCCCTAAAACACAAAACTTGCAAAAGAACAACCATTAAAAAAACATTTAACTTGATTATTTTTTCTATATCACAATCAACTTTTTAAATCATATTCACAATTGAAACAATTGAAACAAAGATTTCAGTCATTATCTAGAATATTGACTTACAAGATTAGGTCGTTGATGTTGCTGTTGCTGCATTCTCCAACAACACAGATATCTGTACAATCAGGCTGATGTTTACCCCCTGCAGGGTAGAAATCCATATGTCCAATCTGCTTCGGAATAGACAAGCATCCCTGAGCAGTGAGCATAGTAGGTAAGCAAGTAAGATTTATTAGAAATAAATCAAAATCAAAATATCACATAATAATTTTTTCCTAATCATAGAGAATACATCAAAATTAAGGATCATAAAGGGTTAAATAAGATGTAACACAAAACTAATTAATCTAAGATAGAAATTTGTGAACAAGCAGTCACGTCGTGAGTAGAGGTGAGTAGCTGGTTTAACTAATTCTTATCCAAGACTGTTTACAAATCTCATTGGTTAAAAAGAACTTCTAAGGCACTTCATCATTCTAATAATTTTTCATGGTTTCTAAATACTTTACAAAAATTTTACAAACCTTCTCAACTTAAACCAAATTTTAAAAGATCCATTTCTTGTTCAAAAATCTCAGTTAAGCAGTACTTCCAATTATGGGGGGGGGGGGGGTATAAATTAAAACTGTGCTGATATGTTCTTCAGTTAAATACTGGGATTTGAGAACAAACATTTTCAATGTTTAGACAGTAATGTTTAATTTTGTATCTGAATAATATATGGATGAGCGTGTTTCAACTGCAACTTGTATCTAGATATTGCACAATGAAACAGAAAAGATCATGCTTGAGCAATTGTACCTCCCAGATCATTCCACTGTTAGTATGAATAACATCAACAAAATCAGCATCCTCCTTGTCAAGACGGTCATTTTTGGTGGCAAAATCAAAAGCAGGTTGAGCTGGATCCAAGCCTGGGCAGAGTAATAAGTAAGAGACCAGATTTGATGATTAGCGAGTAATGTTTTAACTCCGCAGACGTGGTTCAACTATTTCTCTTCAGCCTTGAACTGGCACAATTATGCGGTTTAGCTACCAATTAATCACTGTACATAAAATCTTGTCCCAGTATTAATGAAAACCTTGTCCAATCATTGAAGTCTTTCAATGACTAACACTCAGAATTACCTCGATATAAACTCGAATCCGATCTTTAAAATTAAATATTACTTCGTAAATACTTACACACTTTAAATAGTCGTCTCAAAAGTATCATCATTGGTGGGTGATCCTGTATTCAAAATCTAAGAATAGATAAAATCTTCAATTTTACCTGTGATTCTAGGTAGTTTTTTTCCGGTCAACTCCTGATATTTCTTCCCAATAAAACCAGACACGTGTGCACCAAGACTGTGTCCGATTACATGAAGCTTATCAGCACCTAGGAGCATATATGGAGCTTATCAGCACCTTGGAGCATATATGGAGCTTATCAGCACCTTGGAGCATATATGGAGTTTATCAGAACCTAGGAGCATATATGGAGCTTATCAGCACCTAGGAGCATATATGGAGCTTATCAGCACCTAGGAGCATATATGGAGCTTATCAGTACCTAGGAGCATAAATGGAACCTAGGAGCATATATGGAGCTTATCAGCACCTAGGAGCATATATGGAGCTTATCAGCACCTAGGAGCATATATGGAGCTTATCAGTACCTAGGAGCATAAATGGAGCTTATCAGCACCTAGGAGAATATATGGAGCTTATATGGTACTTATCAGCGCCGAGGAGCATATATGGAGCTTATCAGTACCTAGCAGTATATATGGATCTTATCAGCACTTGGAGCACACATAGAGCTTATCAGCACCTAGGAGCATATATGGAGCTTATCACCTCCTAGGAGCATATATATGTAGCTTATCAGCACCTAGGAGCATACATGAAGCTTATCAGCACCTGGGAGATTATATGGAGCTTATCAGCACCTAGGAACATACATGGAGCTTATCAACACCTAGGAACATTTCTAGCACTGAGTGATAATAATGGGCCAAATCAGCAAAGTTATCTATTTCAAGACGAGTAGAACAAAACTTCACCATAAATTTATAAAAAATGGCTAAAACTATATATTCAAACAATAAATGTCAATTTTAAACTAATAATAAAGTGTGAGAATTAGTTTTTGATGACTCTTGATTTCATTTTCGAAAATATCCCTATTTTGAAACAATTACCGGAATTCATATCAATGTTAATTTTTTAGCGTTTATGCACTTACGTAACAAAACAATATTTTTTGATAAGGTAAAATTTAAACAAAATAGAAAATAAAAACAAACTGTTCTTTTATCTATATATAAATTTGGCTTGTCTGTCTGTTTGTTTATTTGTTTGTCTGTTTGTATCCAATAAACGTCAAAACGGTTGAACCGATCGGGCCCAAATTTTTTGTGGGACATCTCAGGACCCCAGGGAAGGTTTATGAATGATTGAAATTTTAAATATTTGTCTCCATCAAAATTCGATCTTCATTAAATTTTTTAAAATTTTGAAAATCCACGAAATTTTTGTGAAAATCCGCGAATTATTTTTGTTTTGTTTTACGATGTACACAAAGAGAACATGTTCACAATTAATTTAGAAGATGGGCGCGAAGCGCCCTCTAAGGCTAGTACTTTAAAAATCATTACAGCATTGAGTAATCCAAATATTAATATCTTTTTTTCTTACAATATAGATTTAACTATAAATGCGGGAAACTGTTTGTTTAAAATTCTTGAAAATAAATCATCGATATTCTCTTATTTAACAGATAAAATGTGGATAAATTCTAGAAAGAATTCAGAAGTTAATTTAGTCTTCATAAGATAATTTTTGTTTTCAGTGATTTATTTTGAAGTTATGAAATTGAGTTTTGTTTTGAATTGCGAAGTATACTCAAAAATGGGAAAGTGGGGTTTGTCTCGAAAACGCGACATTGTTTTAAATTCAACCTTTCAGGTCAGGATATGTTCGAAACCTGACATTGTCATAGATAAAGATAGATTGTGCATAAGACGACATTTTTCATCTTGAAAGATATAAATGTACAGAGATGTTTTATAGATATTCCTATTATATAGATTAACTAGGTCGGTTATGAACATTGGCTGTTCTTATGTCATTGAGTACTTGTAGTGTACATGAGTTCTGTAAAGAGAAATTTAAGTTAGTTTAGTCCTTCTCATGTCCTTCTTCAGTTCTCGTCAATATGATATTTTTAAAAAATGTATTTATTTTCAAGGATCGGACACTTAAAAAAAATGATATTGAAAGGACGAGGATTTCGATGTGGTTCGGACGAGAAAATGATGAGAATGTGGTTCGGACTAGAGATTGATGTGGTTGGCCTTCCTCCCCTCGCTGTACACTGTTCACTATACAGTTAGGAAGTTTTCATTTGGAAAATTTTACAAACATTGATAAATTAAGAAATTGTTAGGAATATAGTCTAATAAATTGCATAATACATTTCATAAAAAATTGTCTAATATACTGTCTCCTGATTGAATTGTCTTAATTCGCTAAAAGATTATCAAAATTAATTTTCAATAAATTATATAATAAATCTTTGAATAAATTTTTTTCTAAATCTAAACCTGCAATGTCAACAATGATTTTGATAAGATTAGCAGTGTGCTCTCCAACAAATCTAAAGTTGAAAAAAATATTTTTTTCTGTCTAAAATGCTTTTTCAAACAAAGAACAAAGTGAATTAATAAATAAGACATTAACCTATTTACCTTGTCCTACCCGCAGCACCAAAATAATCATACCACTGAGCTAACTTCCCCCAGTCCACAGTAAAGATATTATAGTCTCCAACTATTATAAGGAAGGTTAAAAAACTTTTTTTTTTGCATGTTACAAAAAACAATTTGATTTTATTATACAATTTACTTTAATGATTAAAAAAAAATATTATAATCAGAAAGACAATTACAAACCCAGTTCAGATGTAAGTAATTAAACTAATTTTCCCTTTATCATTTCTTTTTCATGATCATTGAGACAAAGAAAAAACACACTGTCAATGTATTTTTATACTTTAGAGAACAATAATATTAAACCATAGATATACAAGCAGGGAGTAAGGAATAGAAGGGAGATATAACTGACGCGGTTCGCCCTACCATATGATTATAAATGCTTTGCAGACGGGCACTCCATTTGTATAAGAAATATACAAAATAGGTTATTGTATACGCGGTAGTTGTACATCAGACAAATATTTCTTTTACAAATGGAGTACCCGTCTGCAAAGCAAAGCGTCAGTTATATCTCCCTCCTTACTCCCTGTATACAGGAGAATAGATCGCTAATGCAGACTGTAAAGCTGAAAATTGTACAACCATGAACTCGTAATTTAAAAAAGGTCATTGAATACGTTCTACTTCGCGAGGTCAATCTGTGAAGTATTTTTTTCTTATTTTTTATGATAAATTTTTCACATCCTGGAATTGTTAAGACAGTTTAAGTTTTAAGTTTAATCTGGGTATTAAACGAACTATATTACAAAGGAACATTATTACTCGTGTAAAACTGTAATTCCAAAATCTCTACATCTCTTCAACCTGATTGTTTCACTGCTTGATATACAGGGTGTCCCACGAAACATGACAGTTAGTGAATGGTTTATAATGTCTTCTTCCATAATTTGTTAAGTTGTTTGATACCAAAGAAAATAATAAAAAGTATTGTATGGGAGTCATCTTAGAGTAAAATTCATTTCTAAGTAAAATATATTTGAGTGAAAGATTTTTTAAACTAAATAAACTTTAAAAGGTCTTTTACATCTAGAATACAGTATATGGAAGAAGACATTCAAATCTATTCACAAACTGTCATGTTTCGTGAGACACCCTGTAGCAGACTTCACAGGTTAAAAACTATTAAGCATTTGATTATATCTTTAGCTTTTAACAGTAATTTACTAAATTCTCATAAATTTTTTTGGAAGAGCTTGAAAATTTTGAACAACTGCTTGAAACTTGCACAAATGAAAATTTTATGCTTTTTATTAAAAAAGATGGTTTCGACTTGTGAATAAAAATTACAAATTGAATGACTTCTTGTTTATTTTGATAACTATTAATTACCTTTATGAAAATTTTCAACAAAACCACGAGCAAAGTCCAGACCATTGGAAGTATATCCATGACTAGAAATATCAAAATATATCCATGACTAGAAATATCAAAATATATCCATGACTAGAAATATCAAAATATATCCATAACTAGAAATATCAAAATATATCCATGACTAGAAATATCAAAATATATCCACGACTAGTAATTACAAAATATATCCACGACTAGAAATATCAAAATATATCCATGGACTAGAAATAACAAAATATATCCACGACTAGTAATTACAAAATATATCCAAGAAGAGGTGTAATTATTTTACCCATTTACCTAAATACTAGGGTAGGATGAGAAGGATTGAATCCTGCACTCTCAATGGATCCTTGATCAATACCAATCTCTTTAGGATTATCAATCCCATTACTCCTGGATTAGATTAACATTTCATAAATTCAAAGATCCATTTGAATCTACGGTATTCTTTGTTTGAATATTTTGCAGGTAACTACATTTCAACTTTATCGGAAATTGAAAAAAAACCTTTTTAATATGAAAAACTTCAAGGATATTCATTATTCATCAACTATATATCAATTATTAGATAATTTTGTATATTTGCAATTGAGTTGTCGCATTCGATAACATAATTATTGAAGTTTTACATATATGTAAACAAATAACTTTTGCCCCCCATTCAAAACTGACGAGTGTAAAGTTTTCGTTCAGATATTTAACTTTTAATTGATTAAATAAACAGAACTCGCATTGTGTATATTATGTTTGTCGTTTTTTAGATAAACGTCTCAGAGATGATTTTCTTGATTTTTCTGTTATTTCATGTTGAAAAGTAAACCCCGTGGATAAAAAATAGAAATAAAACGTTTGAGTCTAATTCTTCTAACTGTTTCTAACTAAAATTTACCATTTAAGATAAATTATAGATTATAAATTATCTTTATCAAATTTCACCCGAGCCTGCGTACAGGGTTAGCCAAAAAGGATGAGACTGTAATGACGACTTAAAATTATATCAAACAAAATGTTGAATTTAGTCTTCAAACTTTAAAAACTTCACGTAATTTTAAAATAATTTCTGACAAGTATCTGTTGGGAACCACGATTTTAAGAAAAATGCTGAATAAGTTCCGCACAGTCGTCTCATTCTTTTTGAAAAATCCTATATTTTTAAACCTAGTATAAAGGAAGAAATGAACGTCTTCTTCGCTTGGCTCTCGACCCTGTCCTGCGGTCAGGAATTCATCATGCTTCACGCCAACTTCAAGTTTAGCTCCTAGGACTGCTGAGCAGCTGAATAAAAAAGCAACATAGATTGCGGGCGCCATTCTCAAGCACTAATTTGTTTTTTTAAAAATCTTCTTATCTTAAGAAAATAAAAATACTTGTATGGTTAAACAATTAAGTCAAGTTTAGGGTGTTTATATCTTAAAATTTTTATTTTTATTTTCACTTATAAATCAAATGTAAATTATAGTTAATCGAAAAGAATTTGATCGGTTTGAATTTTTTATCAACATCCAATTATTGATATTTATGTTCGTAGTCGATAATGAACTTTATCATTTTATTACCCAAGGCCTCTTACACAATAAATATTATCGTTCAACTCATCCTTATCCTTAGATACAAAATAACGGAACTTTTAACTACTGCAGCTAGTAGTCTATAATCTGAGAGTTAAACGCATTTTTTCGATCTGATTTGATTAACAGATTTCTCATTAGTAAAATTCCTACAAGGAATTGGAGAATTCAACGTTATCCGTGAAATTATATATTTTAGGTTTATTTCTAGTTTTACTATCATAAACTTAGCTGTCCTTTATTTATAGAAATAAGCTAATCAAATTTTTTGTCGGATTAAGAATTTTACAATCTTTAAAAGGTAAGTATCTACAGGGTGTCCCACATCAAATTAGAACGTGTCGTCAATGGGTAAAAATTACAATTTGGAGGACAAATCAGAAAATTTAAGAAGAATGAATCATTTTGAAAACTTAACTAAGGCTAATAGAATTTTTTTCCAGAAATGCTAGATTTTTCGAGTATTCTGTGCGTATTTTGGCGTTAAAAATTGGAGATAATCTAATATGATGTGAGACGCTCTCTAAGAAAAGGCCTTGATTAAAAAACACCTTGCACGAAATGGTGTGGAATTATACAAAAGAGTGAAAATCTGTTAGCCCAGAACTTTGTGTAATATATCGTTAATCATGAACACTTAATCTCCAGTTTAGGTATACTTCTATGATCTGAATTTGAGGAAAAATGTTCGACCTCTTTATTTAGTTATCCCTGCAAGGTATGACCACCACGGGATATCGAAGAGGAGACAAAACAATCTGTTGGTCTGCATAGCTGTCTATCAATGCTTGATCCCCGAGATTCACAACACTTAAGTTCCGATCCTTCAGGACTGATTCGTAAAAAATAAGGATTAAATATTTAACCTGCCAACTCTTCATTTTATTCATGTGAACTACATGAACTACATACAGAGCGTCCCATATCATATTAGATTGCCTCCAATCTTTAACACCAAAATAAACCCTTAATACTCGAAAAACTTATCATTTTCCGCAAGAAAATTCATATATAAGCCTTATGTTATTTTTCAAAATGATTCATTCTAATGAAATTTTCTTATTATAGTCCCGAAAATCGTAATTTAGACACGTTCTCGGTCTAATATGATGTGGGACACCCTGTATATACAAATAATGTAATCTACATTCTACATATATATTAACAGTAATCTCTGTTGTACAGGGTGTCTCAATAAACATAAGAATTGAGAGACGACATGAATATCGCCTTGATTTCCGATAACTGATAATTGACAAAAAGTGAAGCAAAAAAGATTGAAAGTTGTGTAACCCTTTAATGACCCTTTAATGACCCTTTAAGAATTACCCCATTTAAAATCTTCCTCAACTAAGCTTTTGGTGTGTTCTGCAGTATACTGACCGAAAAAATAGTAGCGTTTAGTAGAGAGTGTAATGAGCTTTCCAAAATGTGGTCTACCTCCCTAGAAACCAGCGACGTCGTGCGACCAGTCCCATTAGGTCGATATAGGTCAGGTTAGGTCGGGTTACGTCAGATTACCAAACTGGTCGAAACATGACCAGTCCCCCAGGTCATGTTTGGTCAGTTTAGGTCGGGTTAGGTCGAGTTACCTAACTGGTCTCTGTGAGGGTAGTGGGGAATTGAAAAATAAAATATTGAATAAATGTTGATAGAACAGTTTCAACAAGTTGGTTGTAGTTAGGGTAGTTTAAAATAAAAATAAATTCTTGAAAAAATGTTGATTTATAGATTTCAAAAAGTCAGAGGTAGTGAGGGTAGTGGGGAATTGAAAATAAAATTCTTGAATAAATGTTGATAAAAAAGTTTCAACAAGTCTGTGGTAGTGAGGGTAGTGGGGAATTGAAAAAAAAATTTTCAAGAATTTTATTTTTATTTTTAAAACTACCCTCACTACCACCGACTTGTTGAAACTTTTTTATAAACATTTATTCAATAATTTTTTTAATTTGAAAACTACCCTCACTACCACTGACTTTTCAAAATCTTAATTTCAACATTTATTACTTTTTTTTCAATTTCAAACTACCATCACTTCCAAGACAAAAAACTTAAGCAAGTCTTAAAGAAAAAAAAGAGGCAATTTAAAGATTTTCAAAGTTGAATTTGAATTTTACAAAAAAATTCAGCTATTTTTCAGCAAAAAAGGCAGTTTATACGTTCACGGTCAGAAGGGTGGTCATGGTGTGATACGAGGGGGGGCAGGGGTAGTGACGAGTGGGCTGGGGGTAAGGGTAACAACAACAGAAGGACAGTTATGGTGTGAATGTAATACCAGGGGGGAATGTTAAAGTGTAGCAGTACTAATAGAATTAATTAGGCACTGTTCAGTGGTTAATAAATAAATGACTTGTTTAATCATTTGGACGTCAAAAGTTTAGTCATTTGAACGTCAAAAATTTAGTCACTTTGGACGTCCAAATGACCAAACTTTTGACGTCCAAATGACTAAATTTTTGACGTTCAAATGACTAAACTTTTGACGTCCAAATGATCTTGCGTTAAACGTCCTCAACACCTAAAATATGACGTCGGCGGACGTCGCACTGGTAATTATTGACGTCCCCATGACGACCTTAGGACGTCCTCTGGTTTCTAGGGCTTCTTTGTATCTTTGAAATTGACGAAAATGTTAAACATTGAACAGTTATATTCATTTTTAATATACTGGAATCTGGATAAACTTACTAATATCTCTGTCAATTTTTAAGGTGATACCATTTTGAAAATCCCGAGACTAGTAGTTTTCGGTGTTAAATGTTTAACTGTGATTACTACAAAATTATGTAAACGAAATTATCCTGCTTGGAACAAGATATAGAAGTAGTCAGTTAATTTCCATTTTTTTGGGACACCCTGCATGTGCAATCATATCTCATGAGTCCCTTGACCAATCTGTCTTAAACTTTGATCAGGACACTCGGTAAGACGAGTACGACCATGGGAATGATTTTAGCTTGGTTTAATAATTTTATGTTGAGCGGGTTAACTTAACCAAGGGAAATTAAGCTTCAAGGCAAAGCTGGGTTCCCAAGCTAGTTATCTGTCCTATCGTTAATATTCAGCATTTTGAAAATTTAATGTTTAAAGATTGCATTTTATTTAAACAGTATCTTGCTAAGCGGTCAAGTAAATTCTTTGATCTAAAAATACTTTCTACAATTCCGTCCAACTTTCTTGCGTTTGTGTTAATTTTTTTGAGAATCTTCAATTTAAACCTAATAGAACCCAACAAATGCAATTGATTATTGCATTGAGTTAAAAAATATTAATTTAAACTTTGGTAGTGGCATACAATAAACTGAACTTCACTAACATTTCAGTCTAAAATGCTAAGAAAATTAAATTTAATTTTTCATTTTATAATATTCATTCAAATACATGACAGCATGTTAACCATATAAAACTCTGGCATAGGAAGACGACTTTCAAACTCCTGGTCTGCTTTAACTAAATATGAGTACACATTAAAAATCATCTTACTAAAAAGCTTTTTCCTAAATAAATACATAAATAAAAATACATATTTCGAGGAAACCAAGGTTGTATAATAAGGTTGGTTAATCTTGATGCGCTCCAATGTTCGGAAACCAAGGTTGTATAATAAGGTTGGTTAATCTTGATGCGCTCCAATGTTCGGAAACCAAGGTTGTATAATAAGGTTGGTTAATCTTGATGCGCTCCAATGTTCGGAAACCAAGGTTGTATAATAAGGTTGGTTAATCTTGATGCGCTCCAATGTTCGGAAACCAAGGTTGTATAATAAGGTTGGTTACTCTTGATGCGGTCCAATGTTCGGAAAATTTTGTCTCTCAAGATAGACAAGACTGATTATAGAGGCGAGAGTGACGTCATATTAGGTTTTATCTATCTTAGCGAGACATTTTCCATACATTGGAGCGCATTGAGAGTAACCAACCTAATTATTCATCCATGACGGAAACTATACCACCATTTACTGAACCATAGAAGGGACAATGATTATAAATTAATTTATTTTACAATCATATTATTCATAATGAGTAATTAGAACAGTCTTACTCAATAATAGTTTACAGTTATTCCATACGCATTTGAGTAATCACGTGACTAGCCGATCAGCTGATGGTTTAGGCAGGTGGAAACTCTACTGCAAAGATAGCAAATATAAAATGGCGATTACTCCCAAATTTAAGAAACTGTGTTGAGTGTTTTTAGTGTTCTGTACGGACCAGATGTGTACAAAGCGTACATTAGACTTAATTAGCGCTTTGTACGTGTAAAAAACATTTTCAAAAGTTTAATACCTAGAGTGTACTGCAGCTAGTTACCGAGGGGACTGAGCAAAGTACAGTAGATGAATACATTTTCAATATATGCAGTACTGATAAGTACAATATATGTACGAAATGTCGCATTAATTCTAAATAAATTAAAGCTGTACATATCTCGCCAGAACAGAACAGAAACAAAATTTCTAAAACTAATTCCTTAGATTTAAATAAAGGCGTTAAATTTTTTTAAAAAGAGAACAAAAAAACTGTTCTTTAAATGTTATTAACGAAAAGAGAAATTAATGAATTTACTAAATAAACTCCTAAAACAAGCTTTGATTGAAAAGCATTTTTTTGGGAGGGATTGGTTGTCTATTTTTTTCAGCCTGAATACTTGATATTTTCCAACTTCAAACAGTGTAAAAAAAAGGCGCGGTGATTTGAAGGGGTATATGTTTTTCACGTTAGCCCCCCCCCCCCCCCACAGGAAGGTTAAGGAAATATTCACAGCTTTGGATGAAGAAAAAGGCAATTAACTTTAACTTATTTTGCTTTTTTGGTGTTTTCCTTACCTAGTTACAAATATTTTGTTATATGTTTTTATTAAAAAAAAACTTGAAATTGTGAGGGGGGAGGATGTTTTCTGGAAAATATATACCCCAGGTGGTTCGACTACAAAAGGAGCAAACAAGAATGGATGTGACAGTATTGTTGAACTGTTGAACACTCGGTGAAAAATGGTTTAAAAACTAAAATTATATTTTGTGTTGAAGGAGACAAGGAGCTCGGAAACCCAGGAACAGAAAAATGGATTGAGATGTATTAATGGAGTCCTGGTCAGTCAATACCAATCTTGAATTCAGATTCTCTGTAAAACAAACATAATTCAATGCAAATTTAAAAAAAGTTTTTAAGCATCAAGATCTTGTAAAAAGTTGGAAATAACAAAATGATGTTATAAGTTAAAATTACAAAAATTGTCTGTCCATTCTAATTCAAGAAATAAAAAATAAAACTTAAGAAAAACTTGAAATATAAATTTTAAAAATTGGGAAAAGAAAAATTATTTTGTTCCCTGAGAAGAAATGTCGAAATATTCAAGCATCGGCTTGAGAAGCACTGTCTTGGCCTGGTTTCATAACATCAGGCAGCTCTGGAGGGTTGGAGTAGGGAGTCTTCTCTAGTTCTTCCCAGCCGTCCTCACCCCTAGATAGAGATAGATATAGATATCTATATAGAGATAGATAAATAGTGGTCAGGAGGGTTGGAGTAGGGAGTCTTCTCTTGTACTTTGTATACATCTAACCCCTAGATAAATTTATGTCCCCCCCCCCCGAAATTCAGTTATTTCCCAAAATAATAAGTAATTTTCCCAAATTCAGCGAAAAAAACCTTCCCTGCCTTCCGAAGAAATATAAACTCTTGCACCATACAATCATCCTTATTTTTGTTACCTAAATGCTAGTCCTACTTCAGCTGGCTGTTGTGCCTTGGCTAGCCCAGATGTTAAACCGTAATCAAACAGACTCTTCTCATCTTCCATAACTAAACAGGAAAACATATTTGATTGTTAACATATTTGAAAACACATGACACCCTAATTTTTCTTGTGAATTGACGACTATAGAAATATTTTCTGTTTACAATATGCGCTAAACAAACAGATAAAAAAGGAGAAAACTTAACATTTTACCCCCAAACTTCGTTTTTTCATTGCGACATAAACTTAAAACTTAAGCTTATCTTTCAAATGTTAGACCTGTATCATCCTTGCTGTATAGCTGTTGATCTGAGGGTCCTTTCTTTGTGATTCCCTCGATCATCTTCTTCAAGTCCAGCACGGTGGTCGTCTCCTTCGCGTCCAGGAAGATGGTGGTCTTCTTCCTACGGACCATCAGAAAAACGTCCATCTTCTCTGAAACAAAACTCGTTAAAATCTTAGAAAACCCGCCCCTCCCCAATTCTTTTCAACACAGCAGCATAAGTGGGTATCCATCTAAACAATGCATATTGCATAACCAACCTTGAATACAGTGAAATGACTACGAATGGGCGGGGGCGGGAGTCCAGATAAAGTTAAGACCATAAAAACAGTTAAGCCCTCAATTTAAAATTTAGTTGTAAATTAGTACTTCTCAGGGGGTTCGTCCTTGTAAACGATTTTTGGACCCCCCCCCCCTCCTATCAATTTTGTTCATGACCACTTATTTTTCAGCAGCAACATTATCATTATTTATTTTACTATTATTTAAAAAAAAATAATTTTAAGGTTGGGTTAGGATAAGAAAATTTCCGGGCCGAGCGCTGCGGCTAGGATAGGCTCGGGGGCCAAGCGCTGCGGCTAGGACAGGCTAGGGGGCCGAGCGCCGCAGCTAGGAGAGGCCAGGGGGCCGGGGGCTGCGGCCACGTGACCAATTATATCGATGTGATACTTATTGATCCATGCACAAAATCGTATAATAGGAAATTAACCTTTTCAGTGGTTCAAAATGCAATTGCAAACGGTTTCAAATAAAAACTAATATTAATTAATTTACAGGATTTCGATGTTTAGTCAATTTTATTTTTTTGCCTAATTATAATTAAATTATATTGGAAGAACTCAATTACGCTAAGCCCAAAAATACACAGTATATTTAAACATGGGTATATTTATAGCGAACGTTTTTTTCCGAAGATGTTCGAAAGAATGAGTTTTTATTTAACGTTGAGATTGAGAAATTGCTACATTTAAATATTTGGTTTGGTCAACATAAATAGATAAACTAGGTCGTCTTTGTTAAACTTTTTATTTGCAAAAAAACATCCTGACTCATCGAAATAAAACAAAGAAAAAACACTGCAAAAAGTAGAGCAATGAAAATCTTTACAGAAATCGAACTTTTTCCCCGCCAAGTATAAATTTTTCATTTTTTATTTTTCATTTTTATGATTTATTCATAAATTTAGAAATTATAAAATAAAAAATGAATTAAGAAAAAAATTAGGATGAGAATACATTTCCTGCAATGAAAAAAAACTTTAACGTCCATAATTGTGAATTTTTTCTTGGTTTAAAGTAGACAGCGTCCCTAACTAATATAAAGATGTTTAGAAAGATAGCTAGCTATCTAAACCCGCCAGCATCACTGCGCTACAAATATCGACCCAAACCTTCTAATAACGGAGAGTCGCCATTTTATTTCATTACCGAAGATAAATTAACTTCTTTAGCCTTTTATTTAAACCAAAAAGGTCATTAAACTCCTTCTTCGGTCCATGGCTAATAATATAAACATGCAGACGGAGTGCGCATTTGCGTATTTCTGTGGAACGCGTAACGCCTGCGCAACCTGGTTCAGAAATGCGCATACGCATGTGCAATCCGGTCAGTTTAGAGTATTTACAGTCATAGTGTACAAATATTGGTTCTAATAATAAACAATTATTATTATTTTATCTTGATGTATTAAAGGTTTAAATAAATATCAACGTATTATTTAGTTAAAATATGGGATTGTTTAAACGTTTGTATATTGAAGGAAATTTCGACTGTCATGCCATGAAAATGTGAATTTCTCAAGTTTTTTATCATAAGAATTGTTGCATTTTTTCGACAATTTTATTTTATTTCCCCCCTTCAATTTCTGTTTAGAATTCTGTATTTTAGCTTTCATGAAACTGATTGAGGAACCCCTTTGAGAAAGATAAAGTTAACTGCTGGAGTATGGAGTATGGAGTGTCGAGGTCGAGTCTTAACAACTTAAAATGTATTTTTTTTTTCAGATAAATTGGCTGTTCTATAATCATGAATGTGGTTAACTCTGGACAGGCATCAGGTATAAATTAAATATAAAATAAGTTAATGGGATAGAAAACGTAATTTCAAGTAATTAATTAACTGAGTGGGAGGTCCAATTAGCTTCTACTACTTTCGACCAGATTAAATTGACCAATTTAGTTAAGTTCGGGAATCCTGTCTGAATTTTTTAAGGAATCTGGATGAAATTTTGTTTATGGACAGCATTGATGTTTGTTTAAAGTAAAATGAAAAAATATTTGTAAAAAATAATATTTCCCCCATTTTCCTATTTTGCCATGTTTTTTAAGCTTTTTCACCAAAAGCCTATTTCAAAGACCAGCCAGGTGTTTTAAACACCTTAAACACCTACTTGTTAGTCAAGAATTTCATTACTAACATCAGAACGAAGTTTATAAAGGTTTTTCAGATCACTTTCCCCCCTGTTTTCCCTCTATTTTATCATATTTTCCCTTTATTTTATCATATATTCTCGCTTTGTTGATATTTTTAGATATTCTGGATTCATGAACTCATTTTTCACGCAGACCTTAATTGGATAGTATTTTTGTCAAACAAAATGAGAAGGGGGGATAAATATTTTCCCCACTTTTTCCATGTTTTTTAAAGCTTTTTACGAAAAAAGTATGATTCAAAGACAAGCTAAGGGTTTTAAACACCTACCTGTAAGCCAAGAATCTCATTACTAACAGCAGAATGAAGTTCAAGGTTTTTTTATTACTTGTGGATAAAGGGAGACAATTTTTTTATAATTTTACTTGAAACAAACACAGATGATGTCCATATACAAAATTTCATATTAATCAAAATATTCATAATATTGGAGTTTTCCGAATACCTTTAGTTTTCATCGATAATCTTTTTTCTAGTAGTTTTTCTTAGCACTAGAAATTCAAGGCGCTTCGCGCCCTTCTTTCTAGGCTTTTAGGGCGCTTCGCGCCCATCTTCTATTTAAATTGTGAACATGTTCTTTTTGTTTACATTTCAAAACAAAGATGAAAAAAGTTTTGTGGATTTTTAAAAAAAAAATCGCGGATTTTAGAAAATTTAAATTTTTTTACAAAATTAAAAACCTCTAAAACACAAATTTTTAAAATTTCAATCATTCATAAACCTTCCCTGGGGTCCCTAGATGTCCCACAAAAAATTTGGGCCCGATCGGTTCAGCCGTTTTGACGTTTATTGGATACAAACAGACAGACAAACAGACAAGCCAAATTTATAGATAGATGTCTCATGTTAAAAATTATATATGGGAGTATATACTTAGAATTAAAATTAACGTAGAATTGTGGGAGAAAAAATGATTTTTTTCAGAGTAGGGGGGGGGGGGGTAGTTTTCATCATAATATATTTCTCATAAATATGAACCTCTATATCTAGGGAGTATAACAATAACAACGATGGGTTCGGGAATAACAGGTTCAACTATGGTTGGACGAGTTCTACCTGCAACCCATATTATTGACGAGGACGATGTAAGTTTAGATGATGTAAGTATATAACAGCCGAATTTTAGTATAACATCTTTTTGGATGATTAGATCAATGTTAGTATGAAAATAGACTTTTAATTTTAAACAGAAAAACTTCAGTGTACACAATGAATTTTAGTACAGTAGACATATTTTTGTTTGAACTGACATATTTTAGTGAAAAAAGACAAAATTATTTTATGTTTAAGTATATATATTTTTTTATTGTGTAATCTGAGCTTAATTAAATTAACACCAAGAAACTCTAAGTTAAGATCAAAATATTAAAATTTGTAGGATATAAGAACACCACCTCTATCGTATTTTTCCTTAATAAAAAAAGTTTGTTTGTTTAGGATGAGGATATGGACGACTGCGGAGACAGTTACGGCGAAGACGACGAAATGCTCGGGGTTAGCGATGTAACCTGTCAGCTGGCTGCCGCAGGTTGGCAAAATGGTGTGCATCCTTTTTTATTTATTTCACAACCAGTACAATATTTAATCATATTTATCCTCCCGCCCCCATTCCTCGATTTCATCGTCCCGCCCCCTTCCCTTGGGGTCAGCCCCCTTCTCCTGGGATTTGGATCCTTAAACTAGAAGTATAATTTTTTTTTCAAGTTTTCTCTTCCGTAAATAGAAAATTTTTATTCAAAGTTCAGTTTAATTTATTCACTTTTTAAAGGAAGTGTCAATTTAATTTTAAATGACCCTTATATAAACATTTGTTGTCTTTTTGATTCCTGAATATATTTTCTTTTAATTATATGTACCACAGCTGTACCCTAAGATACAAATCTTTAATAATGTTTTTTGTTGCTGTCTTTCGGGTAAAGAAACATCCGTTAATGTTTTTAAAAAGCTAGAAATGGTTAATTTATTTTGACAAAACTCCATTTTCTTGATTTAATTCCTCCCCCTTCTTAATCAAGCTCAAAATATTAAAAGTATTTAAATATTTTACTGCTTGGTTGATCAATTATATGTTAGGCTACAAAATTTTTTTTTGTAAAATAAAACATTTTGATGTAGCATAGCATTTAGTTTTATTCATATTTAACTTTATTTTTAGTTGTATGGTTTGTTTTTTAAACTTGTTGTTTTTCACTTTTTTCTCACTTGTTATTTTTGTGTTTTTTTTTTCACCGTTAAGTTAATATCAATTATTAATGTTTAGTAAGTGCTTCTAACATTTTAATTGAGATATATATGTAATTTTCTTTGGCAACCTCGCATCATTGACCTGACTTACATAAAGGTTTTCAAGATCTCATTTATCCTTGCAATCCGGTGTGACGTTAAAAGTCCCCCGGGTTAATATTACACCCGGGGAGTTAGATAATTTTGACACTTTCCCTGCAACATTAAACCATTGATTATTAAAGCATTGATAAACACATGCTGAACGTAAACTGTGTTGTTAAATTAGTTTTTAAAAGTAACAATACTGGAAAAAACAATATTCCGTCTTAAATGTCTTCAAAATATGTAAAAGAATCCATGAAAATATTTTGAAATTTGTTGGTCCAGACCGAAATACAAGAGCCCGGGCATTATCTCGCGCTCTGGCTCTTTTAACATGACTCCGGTATTTTTATGGGTTGGTTGCTTTTAGGACCGGTTGGTGTGGCTGCAGCGGCCGCTATTGCCAGTGCAAAGCGTAAGCGACGCAATCATTCGTTCGAGACAAATCCTTCCATACGCAAGCGTCAAACTACCAGACTGACTAGGAAACTAAAGGTACATCTCTTAAAATGCGTCACGCTTGATTCTGGATATTAATATAAAAAAATATGACAGTTTGCTAGTGTTTCTTAAATTGTCTTTTTTTCTTCATGTTGATTAATCACTGTAAAAATCTATTACAGGGTTTTTATTTTAAAATCATTATTATTCCTCAACAGCATACAAGGAGTGTTAGTAGTATTTTTTGATAAAAATTGATTCTTGTGTAAAAAGGGAGTTAATGTCTGATTTTCTAATCCCCCTCCCCCAACCCCTCCGCTCAAAATATATTTATGCTCATAAACATTATCAAACATTATTTATGTTGTGTCTGGGGCCGACTGGGGGTTCCATGTCGGGTTCCCTTGCAGATTTACTATAGTTTCTTATTTCTAGGCTGTTATTGATGAGTTCTCAGTACGAGTTGGCCAGCAAGCTATTGTACTTGTTACAACCCCAGGGAAAAATACTAATAATTTCAAGGTTTAGAAGTAATTAATTTTTTTGTTTATTGTCTAATAAGTGATTAATATTTTTGTTTTGTCCCTTATTAATAATTCATAGTTGTTTACTTAGTATCCTAGGACTGATGAGAGATGATGATGTAAACATCGCATTTTACCTCAGACTCTGAACATTTTTTACCTTTTCGGATTTTATAGATTATTTAATTATTAAATCTAAATCAATATTTAACTAACTATTATGCATAAAGTTGGAAAAAGTTCTCTTAAAGGTTGTAGAGTGTGAACAAGCTTAGAACATTTACTGGATGGAATTAGCGGAACTCTGTCTGTTAATAATTTTCCAGTTGTGTTTATAAGTTTTAGCTTAGTGAACAATAATGTAGAAAACATTGCACAAAATTGTTACTTTCGACTCTAAACAAGCTTTGAATTAAAAAATAAAATAAAATTAATAATTTTATGACTTTGAGAGAGAAAAATATTACTTCATGAAAAAGGAAAAAAATAACATTTAACATAAAATTTTTTAATTTAAGGTGTTTGGTGCTAAACCATTGGAGGATGTTGTCCGGAGTTTAAAGAACGTTATTATGTCAGAACTTGAGACTGCCCTCTCACAGCAGGTAGGTTGCTAACTTATAATTTCATGTGACGTGGATTTCCTCCCCCCCCCCCCCCTCCTCCTTCTTCTGAAAAAAGAGCAACTCTTGTTACTATCTTTTATATCCTGGTATAGTTTAATCACGGGAGGTTTTTTTTTAGAAGAAGCTAATCCAATATTTTACATACAATCAATCCCCTAAATTTTTAAAAAATATTTTAAAATTTAACATTTCATTAAATGAGTTGCCAGGGGGAAGGGATAGGTATTTTAAGATATATCTTTGTGGTAAAGTAATTCTCATGCATTTATAATATTTAACGAAATTTACAACTTTGTTAGGCTCCCAACCCACCACCTGATGATCCTACCTTACATGAACTTCCTCCAATAGTCATCGAAGGTATTCCTACTCCTGTAGAGAAGATGACCCAGGTAATTTAGGGTTTTAAATTATTCATATCGTTTTTATCTTTGACTTTACTGGTGTACAGGGACAGGGGTCTCTGAAAAAATGTGTTTAAGCTTTTTACCCCACCAAACATCATTCTATTGGTTTGAAAAGTGCTTTCAGTATGTAAAATCTAACCTAATGTGGGTCGATTAAACATTTTTCTCTAGAATTTTCGAAAATGTGCTCGGTCCTATTTCCAAAGATGTTATCAATGTTTTCAAAATAACTCAAAACGTCTTTTTTTCGTCATTTATATTAAAAGATCCTCAATTCTATCATTGAAAAGGCGCAATTTTTTCTTTGCTGTCGTATAAAACGTAAAAATTTGATCATAATTTCAATTTGTTTGAAAACCTTTGGAAAAAAGACCGATCACTATTATGCCTACTTTTGAAGGTTAAAACGACATTTCAGAGAAAAATGATTTTTCGACGACTTCCTCATTAATTGTAACTACTAGAAGCACTATTAAACACGAAACAAAAAAAACCTAAAAAGCCTAAACACACTTTTTTCAGAGACACTGTCTGTAAATGTTTTAAAAATTGCCCACCGGTTCCAGAGACTTTAGATACTCTTGAGGGGAAACATATCAAAAATTAGATATCAAAGGGTTTTGTTTTTCAACCATAATAATTTTTATCCAAAAGTTCATTCATATATTCTTAAAAAACTTAACTTTTTTGTCCCTGTTCACGGAGTATAACCTATTTAAACATACTAAACATGATTTTTAAAAGATGAAAAATTATACCTCTTGATCTTGAGATATTGAGTTATTCTTGAGTATTAGTGTTGCCTGTTGATGTGTAATTAAATAATAATCGATATAGAAGGTTTAGTAGAAGTCATAACTAAAATAGATCATGTTGCGTATTTTCTCGAGGTCGGGTAATTGTTGATCATTTCATTTATCAGAGCTGGGAATTTTAGAATGGTGGATATCGAGATCAATGCTTGATCCTCTCTTTTTCTTAATCTCGAGACTAATCTAATCTTGTACTTGTATCCCTGAAAAGTGTATAAAATTCAACCAATCAGAGTCGCGTATCAGAAGCTAGGAAATTCTAAGTTTTGTGCGCCATTTAAGATTATTATATAGAAACGGGAGGGATTCTCTAATTTTGAAAACCGGTTTTTGATCATAAACGGGAGGGACTCTCTAATTGACGGTATTGAATTTTTAAAAACTTTTTTTTACATAGGCACAGTTGAGAGCATTTATTCCTTTAATGCTGAAGTTCAGCACTGGACGCGGCAAACCAGGCTGGGGAAAGGAGAGCACTAAACCCCCCTGGTGGCCAAAACATGTACCATGGGCAAATGTTCGTATGGATGCTAGAAACGACGATGAAAAAACTAAGGTATTAAAATTGGCCCTACTTTGATTTGATTTGATGCTATCTGACATAAATATTCTAAGTTGAAAACATTATAAAATATAATTTACAAAATCTAATGTTTTTAAATGTGTAGAGTATATCCTGGACGCATGCACTGAGAGATATTGTGATAAACTGCTATAAATACCATGGTAGAGATGACCTGCTTCCTAAGTTTACCGAGGAGGATGATACTAAGAGATCGCCGCAAATAAAAAAGGTTCATTTGTTAAAAATGAAATTATATTTAATATGAATTTCAAAAATTTAAAAGTTCACTTTACCATTTTGTTCTCATTTGAACTCTTTACATTTTTTGATTGACTGATTGAGTCTGGATTAAAAAAGTGCATAATATTGGTCTGTTGACGGTTACTTAAAAGGTACTTATTGACTTCCTTATTTATTGATGGATTAATTTATCGATTGTTGTTGCTAGATTTTTGAGATATGATTAATTAATTAACTGTTTATTGATTTATTGATGTATTGATTTATTGATTTATTGATTTATTGATTTATTGATTTATTGATTTATTGATTTATTGATTTATTGATTTATTGATTTATTGATTTTATTGATTTTATTGATTTTATTGATTTTATTGATTTATTGATATATTGATATATTGACCTGTTGACTTGTTGATTCATAGATTCGTTGATTCGTTAATTCGTCGATTCGTCGATTCGTCGATTCGTCGATTCGTCGATTCGTCAATTTGTCGATTTGTTGGGAGGTTTGGGAGGTTTGTTATGGTTATGTATTGTTTTGGTGTACGTATGACTGATTGATTATTTGATTGATGTATCCAGGTTGGACCATGGTCAGGAGTGGTCCAGACGATAGCTAACGCTGATGGAACAGTTTCTATTGTACATGTTGATCCTAACAATCCGGTCATTACACTTCCAGACGGAACTCAGGCACAGGTACACACCTTGGCAGACAATAAACAATGGAAATCCGACATCAAACACAGATAATTGACAAATAATTGACAATCTGACATTAGGAACGAACAATTGATATCTGACATTAGGAACGGACGATTGACATCTGACATTAGGAACGGACGATTGACATCTGACATTAGGAACGGACGATTGACATCTGTCATTAGGAACGGACGATTGACATCTGACATTAGGCTTAGACAGCAGACAATGGACATTAATACTCAATATCAGTCTCAGACAACAAACAACATACATCAGACTTAGACATTAGATTACAACCGATATCATACTTAGACAATTTACTTCATACTCAGGCAGCAGACAACAGATGCCGACTCTTACAACAAACAATAGACATTGTGCATTAGGCTTAGACAACAGACAGTTTACATACATCAGGTCAAGACAACAGAAATAAAACATTGATATGTTTGGCATATTGGCTTTCTCAATATTGAATTATTTACACTTGTACAGAGTGATCCATATCACATTGGGTCGTTCGTAAATAATCAAAGAGAAAAAAAGTTGTTCTTAACAGAAAATTATGTGCTCTATATATTTTGTACGTTTCTTTTATGAGAACATGCATTCAATGTTGATAGTTGATTATCCACACTTAATTAACGGAAAGTCGCTACAAAGATGGATTCGAATTAAGTTTTAATCTTCTGATTTTTAGATTCAGCTCCATGAGAGCGGTGTTCATACCCTGGCTGAGGTGGCGACCTCTGACGGAAACCACGAGCTACACGCCGAGCAGAGCCATATACTTTTCACAGGGGAGGACGGAAACGGTAGGTTCTTGAAAACTTACGGAAAATTTTCCATTTCTCATGTAAGGACTCTTTAAATCAATTGGGAAAGAGTCTACCGCACTGAATGCTATGTTGTCTATACAGAACAAGGGGGGGTTGACAGGAATTTTTCTCAGATTTGATTTTACCAAAGTTTAAATATAAATCAGGCATATTTTCTTATTTGGTTCGCCTTCTTTCTGTTACAAGATTAGGGGGTGAATTTTGATTGTTGATAAACCCTAATTGTATGTATTAGCGTTATCTAACCGCAAATACTGTTCATATCGTGGAGTTCTGATATTAATTACGACCCTATTTAGCATATCCTGTACAAGTATCCGGACATCAGCTGGTAACTGTACCTGTATCTGCCTCTATGTACCAAACTGTAGTTGCTAATTTACATGCCGGAGACGGTCATGTACAGGTAAATTAATTTCGTATATTGGATTAAAAACAAACAAAGGATATAGTGTGCCTCTGTATAATGACAAAACCTCTTAAACTATTAAATTATTGTCCAAAACTATTCTTATTTAAAATTATTTTTATCAAAAAAGGTTAACATTTTCAAATTTCTTTCTTGCCAATTTGGTTGGAAAAATGTCACAACAATAAATAACCAATAAACCTATGAAATTGCGAGTTTTTCTACATGACTCTTCTTTGTAGGTGCTAGGGAGCCCTATACAGATTGCAGGGGTCAGTGGACCCGTCATTATGAAACAAGAACCTTTAGAACATAAAACTATCACTGTCTCCACAGGGTCATTGTCTAATAGTCAGGTATAAATCAAACTTGGTGACGGTGTATTTTTAAAGAGTAACCCCCCCCCCCCCCACATAAAACTTTCAGTCCATATATTGGCACAGCAACAAAATCTTTTTTAAAACTTAAGAATTTTTTTAACTTAGATGTTCAACCTAGTTCTAGATTTTAAGGTTTGATCCCTAATCCGTATTTTAATCTTGAATCCTTTTAAGACAATCGTGATTCATATTCTTGTCGTGTTCAAGTTAGTCTTAGATTTTAAGATTTGATCCGTAATCCCTATTTGAATCTTAAATCCCTTGAGACAATCCTGATTCACATTCTTGTCATGTTCAAGGTAGTTTAAGATTTTAAGCTTTGATCCGTAATCCCTATTTGAATCTTAAATCCCTTCAGACATTCCTGATTCCCATTCTTGTCATGTTCAAGTTAGTTTTAAGATTTTAAGCTTTGATCCGTAATCCCTATTTGAATCTTAAATCCCCTGAGACAATCCTTATTTATATTCTTGTATATTAAGGTGTCTGTGCTACAGATGAGACGAGTGGAGGATGAACGAGGTGACACTCCTGATACAACCTCATAACAGTTAACCAGCATAGGTGGTCATACCATGTCAATGACATAATGCCATCTCCTTCGTGTTTAGGGACAATGCCAGGAACGTCAAACTGCGTTTTGAAGATTAACTAGAAACTATGATCGCTGCTATGATTTTACATAACTGGGTCAAATTAGGTCACAACATTATATATCTCTTGCTTAAGGCTAAATTACGTGAAAAGGCCATGATGTATACCAAATTTTTCGGAAGTTCATACTTTTCATCAAATTACGAACAAAACATCTTATTCGGAATGATAAATTAAATCACTTTAAAAATTAGGAGCTCATGGACCATCGTAGAATAATACAGATTGCATAGCGATATAAAAGGTTTAGGTAGGTTTTTAAAGAAATCACAATTTTTTAAGTTACCGATTTCATATTTGAAAAGCATTATTACATTAAAAATCTACACATCATATTTCATCAAAGGAACTTTACTTCATTATGTTCTAAAATGAAGGTCCTGGGTCCAGTTCCCCCCCCCCCCCCATACATTACGGCCCTGCTTTATAATGTTATTTTTGCTGTTATTTTTAAATAGACTGACATTTTGTAAATAGATCGTATGAGTCTTAGCCTAGCAAAGTTTTAAGAAATATAAGGTCATCGTTAGGGAATGATTTATAATTTTAAAGTTAGGTGGTAAAATTTCGTAAAGCAGCATTTAAAGAAGAAAATAATCCAATTTACATAAATCTCAACGCTAGAAACCAAAAACTATCTACACATAGTATATTATATTGTAAATTTGTACAATATACACATTGTACATATGTAAAATATGTACAAAAATCTGGTTTGCATTCTGAGAGTGCTCACTGTAGTGTTTTATTTTTATTCCACCACAAACCGTATATAATTGTACATCTAATTTAATCTAATTGTACATCTAATTTTTTTTTTTAAATTACCCCACTCAGTTTTTTGTGGCCCAAAGGGTTATAATAATCTTTAGTCCCATCTGTAATTCGTTGAAAAATCAACCTCACATCAATTTCCCTCAACTGATTGATTAATTAACGTTTATTTCTATATGCATCTACTGCAGTGTATGTTTACTACACATGTCAGTGATGTCAGAGTTCCTTGAGAAAAAAAATAATCTAAAACTGAATGTATGTTTCTTAAGTTATATTTGTGTTGCATTTAAAACATTTGTAAGCTGTTGATTGTTAATTTTCTTGAATTCTGGAAAATATATAATATTATTTATTTGAGTCTTGAGTTGCAATGTTTTACAATTTTATTACAAATCCTGTTAATTGTTCAAAAACATGTTGAAGCTTTTGGTTTAAAAAAAAACACCAAAATATCTGATAATCTTAATATTTTACAATATATACACACTTAAGATTCATCATTTATTTCATGTTTTAAAAGGTTTATACTTGGTGTGAAAATGGTCCTGACGGCCCAGTACAACAATAAATCAATATTTCTGATTTTACATTTCAAAAATAAGTTTTATTGTGTTAAACATCAAATTCTTGCGCCCCCCCCTCACCTCCAGGGGGTTGCCAGAAGACTTGTTCTCTTGTCTGCATAAATATGCAGCTATAAATGTTCATCAAGTAACCGTGTGGTTGAAACCGAGAGAAGGTATGGGGACGACTTCAGGTGAAAAAGAGAATTCATAAGTGAATTAAATTGGGTAATGTATGATGATCCCAGGGGAAACCCCCAATCCCATCCATGCAATGGTTATTAGCTTTACAATATACAATGTTGTAAAATGAAATGCCTTTTTCGTTTATAACTAGTAACTATATATGTAAAATGTTGTAAAACGAACTATGTTTACGAAAATAAAAAATATTTTTTTATATAAAAAGGTTATTAGCTCTTTGCATGAGAAAGGGGAGGGGTGGGGGTGCAGGCCCCGTGGAAAATGCTCAGGGGCAAGAATGTACTATTGCCCCCTCCCCTTGAAAAAAAATATACTAAAAACTTGATTTGATAAAAATTAAAAAATTAGTTCATTTAAAAAAAAAATTATTTGCTCGCAAGGAAACGAACAGTGCTCATTAGTCCAATTGAGATGACAATTTTTTCCTGAGTTACAAAGTAGCTTATTGCCCTAACTGTTTTATAACGAAGACGACATTTTTAAAGTTATATTTTAAATTTAAATTTAAATTTGGAAAGAGCTAAATAAAAATGAAGGTTTATGTCTACTTAAAAGCTTAAAACAGTTATTCTACATTTTAAACTGTTTTGAGTACATTTGAATGGTTAATTTGGATATTTTTCACTTGATTCATGAAAATATTTTTGCGGCATTCGGCGAGAATATCAAGTTATCAACACTAACACCACAAATAAAGGAGCGGCTTGCATTTAAAAAAAATTTCGAAAGATTTAATTTTTGAGCCATAACTTTGGACTTCTAAAGGAATTGCGTTTTTCAGGAGTTGCTCAATTTTACGGAGGGAAAAAAAGACCCCCGTCCCCACCAGACATATTGAACAATGAACATATAGTATATATATGTACTATGATCTTTTCTTATAGTATACGATTTTTGAACTCCGCGTACCCCCCCCCCCCCC